CATTTCATTATTTTTGGTTCATTGATTTGACTAAACTGTTCCTGGCAAACGGGACATTCCAATTCCTTCTTGACATCATCGAAAAAGCTCTTACTTTGCGCCATTGATTCTAACGTTGGACGGTCGGAGGAAAAGCAATAAACAAATTAAGGAGAATACGATAGCGGAAGTCGACCATTAGTTCGGTTCTCGATCCCAGGTCCTTCTCAATAAACAGTAAACACGAATAATGACTGTCCTCAACTGTGGGTAGTCAATGAAAATGGCGAAAGCGATTGTAAAAAAGCGATTATAATGATTTTCTTACTGAATGCGCGTTTTTATAATAGGCTAGATTTATTTTCTAAGATCGCGCTTTCTCTTGACTGATTATATTCATCCCCTTAATATCGCACAAAAGTCTTGTCATACAAAATCGCAAGCCTGCCTTAAATAAATGATGAAGCGGCTTATTTAATCTTAAAAGCAAAGTAATTGCATACTGTCCGTACTGTACCAAGTAATTGCAACGGTATGGATGGCACTTAGTACTACTTAGTAAGACGAACTGACCTAATTCCTTACCCATAAGGCCCCCCAGATATGCCAGTCTTATGATGAATATCATTCCATATCACTTGATTTGAAAGCCCTGTTGTAGTTGAGCTACCCACTGTAAAAACCAGTCGAGCATCAAACGCTCAAAAACTGCAAAACAATGACACTGCGGTCATATCGGTGTACCAGGCAAATCGGCCTGTTGGAGTTCAACTTTTTTTTTTTTACCCTTTCATTTGTTAAAACTCCATTCCAGCCGTTCCTGTTATTCCTTTATTCTTATCACGTGACCATACTATACTGATAACCTCCGATACAATAAAATGTAGTACAAACCGTTGTATCGAGGATAAACTGAGCAACAACCTTGATACAAGAACATATAAAGGAGAGTTATTCATTAAAAATATAATATGCTCGAGGAAAATTTTAATGAATACTAAGAACAGATCAGGGCTAAAATACGGCTTTTTAGTCCAAATTCCACAACCCATAGGTAAGGGGGACTGATTTTAAATTCGAGAAACCCAGAAAAAGGGTGGAGTAAGAGAAAGGACTGTGGACTCTAATTTGGTAATAAATACCGATACAAAAAAAGGGGGCGCCGACAGGAACCATGACTGTTTCTTATCGGAATCATTGGAATTTATGTCCATGATTTTTAAATCCGGGCTACTTACCTTCGTAGCCTGGAACGCTGTTACATATTTAAATCTGGCGTAAGAAATGACCCATCAAATTACCGCGGGATTTGTGTTTCTAGTTGTCTAAGAAAGTTGTTCTTTTCAATTTTAAACCAAAGACTTCTTGAACACGTCACTTCGCTGAACATACTCCACAAGTCTCAAATCGGCTTCTTACCTAAAAATCGAACATCAGACCACCTCCTAACATTACGAACTCTTATGGACAAGTACGTACACTGTCACAGTGAGAAAGTATACGCTTGTTTTGTTGACTTTAGAAAAGCCTTTGACTCTGGCATGACGGACTTTTATATAAATTATTACAAATTGGTGTAGTTAATCCAAAACCTATATTCAAACTCTTCGTGTGCATTGAAAATAGGTACGAGTCAAACAAAATCTTTTAGCTATTCACGAGGCGTACGCCAGGGCTGTATTTTAAGCCCCTTACTTTTCAATTTATACGTTAATGACTTACCGTCCGCATTTCAAAATACTTTATCAGACCCTATCATCCTTCCAAATGGTACCAAATTAAATTCGCTTTTATATGCTGATGATTTAATTATTATACCACGATCTAAAATAGGATTACAGAACTGTCTCAACACATTATCCTCTTTTTGCAACTCTTGGATGTTAGATATAAATTCCAAGAAGACCAAAGTTATGGTCTTTCAAAAATGAGCGAAGAAAAACTCCAATCTAGAATTCCATATAGGTAAAGAAACCATTGATATTGTCCATGAATATACATATTTAGGAACCCGTATCTCCTCAACCGGTAATTTTAATATCTCACTCGAACACTTGAAAGAGAAGGCTCTTCATGCTCTTTTTAGTTTAAGAAAACACACAAACTTTAGCAAATTAAAACCTTCTCTTGCTTGCAAAATATTTGAAACGATGATTTCCCCAATATTATCATATAATAGCGAAATTTGGGGTGTATATGTAAAACATGATTTTAAAGCTTGGAACAATACCCCTATTGAAAAAACCCACTTGAAATTTTGCAAGCGTTACCTAGAAATAAGCAATAAAGCTTCAAATGTTGCAAGTAGAAGTGAATTAGGACGGTTTCCATTAATTATTAATATTTATAAAAACATCCTTTATTATATATTGTATCTTCTGCGTAAAAACGAGGATACTATTGTTAAATAAGCCTTTCGTACTTCGCTAGAACTTCACTGTAATGGTAAAAATAGCTTTCACCATAATCTTATGAAAATATCTGAATATTATGACCTCCCTGATTTTGATCCTAATAATTTAAGTGAAGCTAAGATCAAACACTATATAGATATAATAAAACAAAAATATATTGCATATTGGCAACATACAATCCATCATTCTAAGAAACTACAATTTTACAGCTTATTTAAACACGATTATAAAATTTCAAGTTATCTAGACTTAATTAGAAATTCTGCTAATAGGAAAGATTTAGTGAAAATTCGTATAAGTAACTACAAACTCATGATTGAAACTGGAAGATATAATCAAACTTCCCGCAACGATAGATTCTGTCCTATTTGTAACTCTGATATAACTGAAGACGAATTTCATTTTCTCTTCCATTGTCCAAAATACTCAATCCCAAGGGAGAAATTCTACAATCAAATCCAACAAAATTTTGTCGACTTTAATCAGCTATCTTACACAGAATTAATAATTAAATTGATGAATTCACAGAATTTTTCCGTAAATTCACATTTGTTGAAATTTGTCTCATTATGTAATGATTTACGTAGTAATTTGTTATCAAACCATGCTGATGACACTTGATTGACTATAGTAATCATTGCATTGCATTATCATGGTCATGATTTGTTTGTTTGTTTGTTTGTTTTTTTTTATGTTAAAGCTTTTGCAATACTGTAAGTACATAATTATAGTAATGCAAATAAAGCTTATGTTGTTGTACTGTAACTACATAATTATTACTGTAACTACATAATTATAGTAATTATAGTAATTGTTGTAGTTGTTACGATTTGGGGTATGAAAAGTCATCTGTCCACGAGGCTGGTTTCCTATGATATAACCTAGTGGCTGTTGACATAGAAGGGCACCTGTTGCACTTAGCTGTGCTTGCACTTTAAACTTTTGGACTCCACATAGATTCAAGACAAATAGGACAGGTCGCTGTGAAAAAAAATATCAATCCAAAGTTGATATGAAGATCATAGACCATGGAAAAAAGCTATTGTAGGTTCGATGAACGTTGTGCGTTGTATATGTTGTTGCTTCTTCTTGGGTGTGATTAATCTAATATAGCCTTATGAGAAAAACTGATCGGCAAATTGACTGTATTAATTTCTCGAAATGAAACAACGTATGAGAAGGTAGTAACGCATGAAGACTAGCAGAGCACGGCCGCTACCAAACTGAATCTTCGAGACAGGTCAGAAGACATTAATGTGTCATTGTTTGCCTGTCAAACTTGATTGCAAAGCTCCTCGCATATGATTCACTCCAATTGCTTTGCTTTGCGCCATCGCTGCCTTGAGAGAATCGGTGAATTTTCGCAGCGTCTCCAGGTTCCTCTTAGTATGATAACCGGTGGAAATGGAGGACTACGTATTGGGAACTTCAATTGTACTTTCCCTAGGGGGCCATTTGCTTCTCTCAGCCCGTACTAGTAAAATGGACAAACTAATATATAGATTAAGCCATCAAGGATGGCTTAAGTCGAAGCTCCGGTTAACAAATTTATAATTTACTTCAAACATTAACCCTGAAACCATTGCAAGGAAATCCAGTCGGAGTTGAGCCTACGATCAATTGAAAACTAGTATTTTGTCAGTGGATGACTTCAAAAAAAAACACAAACCCGATGGGTCGAGGGCTGAGTCCGCGATACGGTCATGTGTTACTGGTCAGCGGATATCCTGTTTTGACAGCTATCAATTGACCACAACATGGATGTGCAATATCAGGTTGCAGGCTCCCACACCAGCACATTTGTTGCCCGGTCATGTGACTACCACGATTTTTCGGATGGATAGATAACAAAATTTTCTAAGCTATGGGGCTCCTCTCGCGCGTGAAGGTCTGCTAATAAAAGGCTGTCCTCTTTTTTTTTCAGCCCCAAACTATTATGTAGTATATACTACTAATATAGTTCAGAAGCAATTACAAAACTAATAAAGCACACACTCTCAGTCAATTCTGGCGTAGCCACTTTTAAGTGGACGCACAAAAGCTGAATATTACGTTTTGTAGAAACCTTAGTATGTTCAGCCTCCCATACAGTCGTTCTTTTAAAGGGCTCCCTCCCTGTCGCGTTCCTTGCCCTATCAGAACCTCTGCCTTGGAGGCTAAGAATAATAAACATCAAGGAGGTGAAAAGTGGTGAAAACGGAAGTAGGACCAACGAATATAAAAAAAAACTCACTTGCGTTATAAGATTCTTTTTCAAAGTCACTTATTGTGGAAGAAAATGAATGAAAGTAAGAAATTATAAAGTTATGCTTCATGTGTGGTGGATCGATCGGAAGGTCCAGAGTTTTACCCCTCATTACGAAGGCGCGCGGAAGCTCGAACGTAAGGAAGGGCTCCTTTCATACACCAGATACATCTATTTCATTAATGCCTTAAAACAGAATGACATCAAGAGTATAGGCCCTGACCGTTAAATTATCTAAACGAATTTAATTCATATAAAAAAGAGAGCATGAGCTCATTCTCTCTTGATATAAATTTATCCACTGTATTTTACCTAAAATGACAAAGACCAATTGTTTATTGCTATAAATTAGCTAGCCATAAAAGGATAGAGCATTCTAAGAGAAAAAAGTCAAGGAACATCGAGGCTTCATGTCGTGTCGTTTTATGGTATTTAGTATCTAGCAAAGATGAAAGATGGCATTCGAAGGGGTCGTTTGTCACTATAAAATCAAGCACAGGTAACATTAAATCCATGTTTCTGTTTACTTTGCTCAAAGACATTTAACTATTTTTAAATTTTAACTATTCATTTTAGAAAATCCAAACGTGAAGTTATAGGCAAGAGAATTAACCTGAATTTGCTTTGTAAGCGTTCAGATCTGCATTTAAATTACTCTCCAAAAATGGGTTCCTTCTTTAAGCAACACAACCCTTGAGGTTATCTTATGCTTGCAACCGAACCGTAACAGCCTACCCTATTCTGGGTTCCCTAACGCGCGGCTCAGTTTGACAAGGTGTAACCCTGCATCTCAAACAATAGTAACAGTGTAACGTTGTCAAGCACCTTCCCTTCCTTATATGCTCACATTGACGAAGGCCACGCTGTGCTTGAACGAGTTCTTTCTCTTGTGAACAACTGTTTAGTAGTGAGCGCCCTAGATAAATTTCGTTCTATGTAACCATAATGGTCTAAAAACTTATAAAAAATGATTTAGTAGCGGTCTACATGCAATGTACACCTATTTTACTGACGACATTATCATTCTGTCAGTTGAACAGTAGTGTAAGAGGGTTTCTCAGTTTCATTAGCGGATTCCTTTAGCAGCCAGCTCTTCTTTAACTCGCCGCAGGTAATCTGGGTCAGGATATCCAAACCTTTAAACAAAACAACATATGTTTGTAAGGGATGAAGAATTGTGTATTAATGATTCATAATTTTGTTACATTATTTTGTAATTGATTGAGTGGCTTTCCTGGGACAATATTTCTTGAAAGCTGTGTACTAAATAACAAGTAGCCCTTTCAGTTTATCAATTACTTTCCCCTCTTACATCTTGCTACTCAATCCTGGACGGGATGTTAGTCCCTCACACGGTTACCCCGAGCAGTCACAATTACTGGTTTACTTAAAAAACGTATTGTTAATTCACTGATGTTTGCCTTAGAGTGGTTCCCTGGTCGGCTACAATACAAATTCTTACCCATAAGGTCCTCCACTCCTGCTAGTTTTGTGATGAATATCATTCCATACCACCTGATTTGGACGTCCCGTTGTATTTGAAGTGCCAACCGTAAACACCAGCCGAGCGTCAAAGGCTCTCTTTAGTAGCTGAAAAACCTCTCTTCCTTCACGGTTGTCTGGAAGATAAGCTTCTCGTGTAGTACCCTCGTAATGCTGACCAGGGTGTGGATGCTCTGGGCCCTGCATCCCAGATGGAAAGTAATATCGGATGATGATTGTACCACACCCTGCAAACAGGGAAAACAAAGTATAAAGATCCTTCACCAATTTACACTGACAAGAATCAACTAATCAAGCTGTAGTATATTGAAGAGGGTTTTAAACCTGACAGGCTACACTCCCACAGAAATCAAAGTAGTCCACTAACTCTTAAATCGCTGCTCTAAACCATTCTCGATGGGAGCATAGTGGGAGCATAATTTTGTAATGAAATTGCATGAGCGCAGTCAAGTCAATTCACTTCCAGTCGGGGTTCATACCTTTGTCACACTAGACTTGAAGAGGCAAACAACCAAATCAAATTTTAGCTTTTACAGAGACCCAGCTGTGTTAACCTAAAATAGCAGCGACTGGAACCTGATATGTCATTGAAAGAGAGAGAAAAATTTTACATTTGCGGCGAAGAAATGAACAAAAAGCGTGATGCTCATGCAGAGTTTTTGTTGCTGTTGCTGTTGCTGTTGATTTTTCTCATATATTAAGCCTATATTTGCTGTTTTAACAGTACTGTTGTGTTCCCTACTGTCGCCAGCGGATCGTCGCTTGTAAACCGAGTTTTAAAATTACCTGGGTAACCCGGGAGACTTCTAAATGACTCGCAATGACTTTCCATTTCTCCTCGAGGCTGGTTTCCTCGAAGAACACCTTGAGGTTCTTGACACACTGGGCACTTGTTGCTCACTTTTAACGCGTTTTGAAGACACTCTGAACAAAACACGTGCCGACACTTCAAACGTCTTGGCCCAGTGATATGATCAAGACAAATTGGGCATTTTTCTAAAAAAGAAAAAAGGAAAACAACCATAGCATTCAGATTTACATTTGTTCACGGCATTTACGATCTTCTTTCATCAACAACATCACTGAGATTAACTGATCGATCATTCTCTTGGGGAGTTCCCTTTTCAGTAAGATTACACAGTAAAACTACCTGTTCGTCTCAGTGTTTTCTTTTCTCATTCTTATTGCAAGCTACTGAAAGGGGTAATTTCTTCATACGATCGTGCAGCTAATTCATTTCGCCAAAAGATTAGCTGATAACAGACCGCTTACTCTCTAGTTCTCGTTTAATATCGCCAGTTACACCTGTATTAATAGTTGAAACGGGGAGAGGAAGCTGTGATACTAGGTTTGCAATATCTTACGATAATATAATGGTAACTTTAAGACTAAATTTGACAGTTCGGAGTAAAACGAGATTGCAATAAGTGGAACAAAAAAGTAATGAGTCTTGAGTATCGCGTTTTAGTGTCGTTCTCAAAAGAACACGTTCTCACGATCGAGGGACTTTGAAACGACTGAGCACGTGATCATTAAAGTTAGTGAAGTGCACGTGTGCAGTCTGTAGAGAAGTTTCGCCGTACGGTCTATAGTCGGTCGTTCAGGTTTAGATCAGTGCTCGTACTGCACCTCTCAGCAGTTAACTATGTCATTATATTAATTTTCATTTGGTAGTCATTTACTATTTTTTTACTGATTTTGAGATGTGAGCGTCGCGTATTCAGGGTTTCATCTATATATTAAGCTTTTGCACGTAACAAATACCATTTCTACCTTCCTCTTCCTTGTCTGTCTTGGCTCCATCAGCTGTTTTCGGCGCTTTCCCATCCTTCTCGCCCACATTTCGTTTCACTGCACCACTGTAAGATGTGGCTGTTGCACTCAAAGGATGATCGTCACGAGCATCAGAACTGCCAGGAGAGTTATTCGTTGAGCCACTACCTTTTGACCCTTTGCCCTTGCCTTTCCTACTACGATTCGACCTTGGCTGCCCCTTGAGATTGTTACTACTTTCTGTTACAAGTTTGTCTCCATATCGACACAGAAACTCTGTTTGAAAGGCCTGAACGGAGAGATCATCTAGGTCAACCAATCTTATGTCGGTAAGTTTTTTATTATTTCGGCTGACTATTGTAACATATTCTTCCACAGCATCAAGCATCACCTCAGCACAAACGTCTTTCGGTACCCCATATATACCGGAACCGATCGCTGGTATTGCTATGGAGTCCAGGCTTAGTTTTTCAGCTTCAGAGAAAGCGTTTAGACAGGCTTGATGAAGTATCCTTTTGCTTTTCCTCGGTTCCACTCGCTCCCATTTTGGTCCAACAGCATGAATTACCACACTGCAAGGCAATTTTCCAGGTTTTGTAGTGACTGCTTCCCCATCTTTCAGCACACCAAACCTTCGAATGATTGCTCTGGACTCTTCCCTGATCGTCTTTCCTCCTCTGTCAAGAATGGCCTTGGCTACGCCTCCCGCATGTATAAGATCCTCGTTAGCAGCATTTACAATGGCATCGACTTTTTCCATTGTAATGTCGCCTTTGTAAACTGAAACCTTCACTTTTCCATCTAAAAAATTAAAGAAACTCAACCACGTCACAGACACTTTGAAACTTTACAGGTTCTCGTTTAGAATTGGCTAACGAACTACGAAAGTGAGATTTCTTTGTCGAGACCTGTGATTGGCTGATAACACCTAAGTGTGTTCGGCACTGTAACGTATGAATGCGTTCCTTTGCATGATCTGGGTCTTAAGGATCAGTGATCCCTATGATCACGCGGATCATAGTGCAACAAAGGAGTCAACGAATCCATTCTGGGAAATGATTCATCGGGTCTTTTTGATGGATCATGATCCGAGTGATCTCGGATCACTGATCCTGATCCGGGTCATTCGAAAGGAACCCACCCTAAAGACGTTAACTCAGATCAACTTTATGATTATCACGGCGATTGAAAACATAAGGTTTGAAATATGTTCACGTTTTATTTGAATTCAAACATACACAATTTTTTCCTTCTCACGGAGGTTATTCGCTAAACACCACACGTTAAGTTCCTGGCGTCGGATTTTTAGTAGCAGATCCAGATCGCGCGAAATTCGGATTTGATCGATATGACAGTTTTTTGTTAATTGTTGTCATAGTGATATCGATTTTACTAAAAACTGCATTTTGACAAACTTTAATTCATAGTCAATGACTGGTGAAAATTTTCTGGCGATCCGGCCAAGGATAAAATCTTTTTTAAGGCGACTGTAACACATCGGTATGGTCTGCGAAAAACTGCATCGAATCGAAACACCTTAAAATGAAGAGTTTAATGTCCCGAGTTCTTCGCTTTCAGTTAAAGTCATGGCTGGAATAGTCGAGGAAAGTTGTATAGTATTATCATGGTCACGAACGGGTTAATGCTCCAAATAGAGTCAGTCAGAGTTTTACTCCAAAGATGTCATTCCGTTTGGTACGATTTCAAAAACAGATAAGACTTATCTGATGAATTACTACGGGCACTAAATGGTAAAAAAGCTTATTATATCAGGAACGCAAAGTCAAGGGAGGATAAAAATGCAGGGAAAGACATACGTCCTGTGGACCTACTAATAACACAAAGGATGCGTCTACAGTTACCTAAAAGAAAGGCTACCCTGGATTTCGACCTATATCTTCAGATAACATTTGTGGACCATAAACCCAGACAATCACCGATATTTCACTTGCCTAGTAAGAAGGTCTCTAGCCGATTACTTGTTGTCTTGACACCGCTGGAGTAATCGTGTGAATCTTCTTCCATGAACTGCTCTTGTTCCCTCTTTATTTCCACTCCTTCATGCTCGAGATATCTAAAAGCCTCTTCAATATGGCCCACCTCTCCGTAGAGCTCCCAGTGCTTTCGATCTTGGGATACCTGTACTAAAATTGGCAACTTTTTACCCATTTTGTTTATCGTGTCCCGAGCAGGAACAGCCTTTTTCTCATTTTTGAGAGAGAAACGCTCCCTTTTAACACGCTGGAACATTTTTTGGTATAGGCTGATAAACTGGTTGCAGGCCTCTTCGTAATCATTTGCAGTACACGAACGTTCTGGTTTCAAACTTAACTTGCTACCCTCGGCCATCTTGGGTATCTGGACATGATACTTGGCTTCCATATCGTGAAGATCTTTTTCATATGCTTTGATAAAAACTTTAAAAATTTTCGGCTCTATCTCAAAATCTGGAATTTCGAAGGATATTGCAGAGTTCCTATCATCTGTGTGGGATCCATTATTGGTGCTTTGGCTGACATCTCCCTGATTTTCTATCTCCCTGTGAGATGGCGGTCGTTCCTGCGATATGTCTTTTCTTTTCAGGCCAGCGAAAACAGTTATTCCATTGGATTGACTTACAGTCTCCTTCAAGAGGTTACGAGTCTGTTCTACTTGTTGAAAAGTTCCTGAAATCGAGAAAGTCTCGGTTCTTTCAATCCATCGGACGCCATTTTCGTTACCGATGTCTTTCAAGAGAGCTTTCATTTGCTCGCGCGATAAAGACTGTACAAATTCCAAGTCGAGATCAGCTGATACCAGTTCAAATACCTGGAAAAAGGTAAAAGACAAAAGCAAAAGACAACAATGTAAACGGTCACGCACTCGGATTAGGATCAGAGCTTTTAGGAGCTGAGGGAAAGCATTCAGTTCTGATTTGTTTTGACTTCTAATTTTCTTTAATTTTTCTTTTTAGCCCCGCCCTTCTTAGAGCAGTGTATGGAGGGAAAAAATGTTAAGATATCGAGAAAATTGATCTGAGGTGATGCAGTGGCGGATCAGGGGAGGGGCCCTGGGGGTTCGCCCCCATCTTTAGCCCAAACTGAGGCCCGGAGTGCCGAAAAAAATATTTTTGGAGACTGCCCCCCTATCATCCCTCTCCCCCTTATCTCAACGTCTGGACGCGGCACTGTGCACTGTGCATGCTATGCTTAATTCTCATTACCTCTCTGATTGGGATGGAGGCAGCATAGCAGAGCAGGTAAGGGGGCTGTACTTGTAATACGGAGGCCCTGCGTCCAATCCTCACCCTGACCACTAGCTGGATTTGTCCTCAGTAGCCGCAAATTCAAATCCTTGGCCACAGTTTGTACCCACAGGTGTACAAACCCTTATATGGCCTATATGGGGATGTGCCCATGATTTCATCCTCTCATTTCTAAACAGGGTATGAAAATTTGTGCTACTTTGTCCTAAACAGTGTCTATATTTTGATGTGAGTCTGTCCTAATTATAATTCATAGGGTATTGTCTACAAGATGTTTTAATTTCCTTGATGAAATTTGTTGGTACTCCAAATAAACTAAAGGCATGACTAAAATATTGTAAAATAAGGCAGCATGCTTTTTGTCCTTTGTCCTTAGCAGGGAAATAAAACTGAGGGTGTAGTCCTAAACAGGGTTTTTATTTCGGGAATTTCTCTGTCCTAAACAAGGTTAGGGTTTCATACCACCCTCAGCAGCTCACCAATACCCAAATATTAGTCAAGTACCTCCCCCCCCCCCCCCCCCTTCCCCAAGGACTTTGTAAAATAGCCAACTGGTTCGCCACCTACCAGTTGGGATTTTTAACCATATTATGTCTATTTTGTTCCATTTGAATTATTGGTTCATTATCACTGAAAACCTCCAAATAGGGGTGAGGATTATTCAACAATATTAACTGAGCCTGAGGTGAATAATTGTTTTAGTATATTCACACGAAGTGATCTCAACAGAATCAGAAAGAAACCATTAAAAAACGATTAGTTTGATTGACGGGTGAAAATTCATGCGTGAACACGAAGCCGTAAACAGTGGATGCGCAAAAGTTAGATCTTTACAGTATCTTCAAACATGGCAAATGATAGTTTTAATCCTTTTGTATCGAGTTTTGTAAGCTTTAGCACCAACGGTTTAAAAGAAAACGCCGAAAATTTAAATTACTACCCAATTCTGAGAAGAAAAGTATCAGTAGAGCTTTATTTGTTTCTGTCAACTCACCGTGAATGAGAAAGTTTTCTTCCTCGCTTCTTGCAAATGCTGTCAACAGCGGCTGCGACCCTTGCGAAATAACTTTTGGAATTCCTAGGAATTCCTAGGATTATCCTAGGAATTCCTAGGAAAAAAATCCTAATCGTAGGTGTGAATTTTCACGGTAAATTCGGACTTGGAATTCCTAGGAATTCTTAGGAATTCCCAGTTTAAAAAGTTCTGGTTCTAAATTCCTAGAAATTCCTAGGAATTCTTAGGAATTCCTAAGAATTCTAGGAGTTTACAGGTTTAACATCATGTCATCAATCAAGATCCAATGCCAGGATAGTAAAGTATACACAAATTTAATGATTAATTACCAACTGGAGAAAGCATGGAAATTGCATTTAAACAAGTTTATGATAATAATGTTCAAAATCACATCTTATGGTACATGTTGTTTTTTAAAAAATTGAATAAAACAATTAAAGTCCTGAGATATAAATTGTTCTCGAGTCATTATTGAAAAATTGTGGGACACATTTGTAACTGGAATAATACAGCAAAAGAGTCTTGACTGAATTAATTTTACAGCGGGAACATATATGTAAAAAAAGAAAAAGTCAGGCCAACTTGCTTCCAGCAAGCTTATCTGCTAAGCCCTTATTAAGCCGCTCTTTTAATTCAGGACTCAAACTGAGAACAAAATAATGAACTGGAAACTAAAATACTTGTAGTACATGGCGTCTAAACATACTTGTTCATGACTACAGTAGAACCCCGGCGGTGAACTCGAACTCTAAAGGGAAACGAAAAATAGTTCGATTTTAAGTGGGGAATTCGAGTTATCGGGGTAAATTTCAGTGAAATCTTGATCAAGAGAAAGCAAATTTAGTTCGACTTAGCAGAGAATTCGAGTTATCCGAGTTCGAGTTACCGAGGTTCTACTGTATTAAATCCGCCAGAATCTGATCGAGTATTAGCTTATTCACGTAGAATTCCATCAACCTTTTGCAACAACGACTACAGTTATGTCTCCAGTAAACAAAAAGGAACCAATAAATGGTTTTCCATGCCATCTTGAAGTTTCGTGTTCATATATCGGAACGATCTATAATTCCACTTTGATCTCCAGCTTCATTATTTGAGTACGTGGTTACCATCAGAAGACACATTACGAAGCAGGAACGTACCTTTACCTTTCACAATCCAGCTGACTTATCGTTCTCGGACACGACTGGAAGCACGTTTCATGTGTCAACAACAAAATAAATGAACAATCCGCGTTTAAAATAACGTCAATTTCGGATGCAAAATACTTGTGCTCTTGCTAATGAAAGTCCGCGTGAATTTGAACTCACCAAACGGAACTTCATTTCACACTTTTCCATTGGTTCAAAAGGCGCACGTGATGAAGCAGTTCACTTAGTGGGGAGACTGGTAACCAGTATAGCTCAAACATGGCGGATGATTTTGCTCGATGATGAGCAAGTTGAAAAAAGCGGTCGTTTTCAGAGCTAAATAAAATATTCCAACACTTTTGAGGTATAAGCAGCGAGAGGAAAACTTCGTATTGTTTTTTCAAGAAGCGATGACCTTTTATTAGGCAAAGCCGCGATGAAAAACGTGTTGTGGGCATGTTTGGAAAGCTCAGGTACGAGAAGACGGGTGGCTCTTTGAATAAGCTTTCAGTATCGTGCTTATTGTTGATAATTTTTTTTTAAAGATTTAAGTCGCAATAAATGTTGTATATAGATGCTGGTTAATGTCAAGAAATCCTTGTTGTTATAGGCAATTAAAGAAATGATTATTAAAATTTTTTACGCTTTTTATTACCTTTGAACACTTATCGTTTTTCCCAAAAATTAAGCCAGTGTTTCCAAGTTAACAATGACTTGGAATTATTGAGAATTCCTAGGAATTCCCACAAATTCTCATTGGTGTTTTAGCAATTCCCAATAATTCCCATAAGTTCCAAAGACAGTTTCCTTCAAACTTGGAATTATTGGGAATTCCTAGGAATTCCCAAAAATTCCCACTGGTGTTTTAACCCATTCCCAAGTATTCCCAAATATTCCAAGGTTTTTTATCTTTGCTCATTTGCATGTCTTGGAATAAATTGGAATTCCTAGGAATTCCCAGAACTCTGGGAATTCATTTCGCAAGGGGATCAAGGTGAGCGTTGTTTATCTCCAAAGTTCTTTGCCTTGTTAACTTGCTGGCACGTACAATTTTCGAAAATATTTGCCTTCCTCTCTTCTCCATAAATTAACTTCTATTTATAGGCAAAATTGGTCTTGTGAGAAAATCCCGAAATCACAAAACAGTGACAAAGCGACCTCGTTTTCCTCTGTAGTGGTAAACATAGCTTCGAGCGTACAAAAAGTCAGCTAAAGTAAACCATTTCACAATAAATCACGCTGTTTAAACACCATGAAGTCTTTTCTTGCCTTCAAAGTCATCAGCACTTGGATATTCGTGTATTTTCAAAAAGGTTTTACTTTGAAACTTTGGCAAAAAACCCAGTTCACGACAGCGATTTTGTTCGGCTTTATATTCCCCGCCTAGCGCGGTGAATATAACGTCATAGTCCGAGATAGCTAACCAATCAGATTGCTTGAATTACCAAGATCACTGAGTGTGTATATACTAATATCTATTATTATTATTATTTTTTTTATTATTATTATATTATTATTATTTATTATTATGCATTCAAAATATTTCCCCGCTTCTGATTGGCTAAAAGCACACGTTTAATTCACCATAACCAGTTTCTGATGACCAAATTTGGAAGAATTTTGTGTTTAGTGAGGAAATGACGTCAAAAATGCAGTATTCTTGCAGGTTAATGCACCGTTAACTGAGAAGACCTGGGGATGAGGTTGAGTTGTTTTGGTTGTGAACTTGAAAAATGGCGAACATTTCACTCGTTTCAAGAGTAAGAACTAGACGAAAAAATAGCTTAAAACATGGCAAGAACAGCAAGAAGGCAACTTGAAGGGCGACATCTGCTATTTGGAGAATATTTGCAGAGCTGAACGACCCTAAATGTGTACTAGATGAACTTAACATCGACGGATCAATGGAGGTAAGCACGTTTTAGCCATGTTTTTAAACTAGGAATTATTTTGAATGAATAATAAAACAATTATTGAATTTGGCTTTCGTATCACATGCAGAATTATGGAGATCTCGGAGGGTGTTATTCGCCTCGGCCTACGGCCTCGACAGATAACACCCTCCTCGATCTCCATAATTCTTCATAAGATACTCAGCCTCATTCATTAATTGTTAAATAATATTATTAATTAAGCATTGATTAAGAAACTACTCAGGCTTAAAGAATGAAGTCGCTAATAAACAAATAGAGAATATTACACGGTGGCGAGAAGATACGAATTTTATGTTCGAGTGGCAAGAACAATATCTCACGAGTGAGCGCAGCGAACAAGTGAGATATTGCTCTTGCCACGAGAACATAAAATTCATATCTTCGAGCTAACGTGTAATATTCTTTTTATTATATAAACATACTGATGACGGCGTTTTTGATGATTTTCCGAAGATTTTTCAAATTGTCCCGAAGACCAGACGAACGTTCCCGAACATTTTGCGAGAATTTCCGAAAATTTCCGAAGATTTCCGAAGATTGCCGAAGATTGCCGAGCACTTTCGAGGAAGACCCGACACCAACAAATTTAAGTACAATTTAAGAGACAAACCTAATGTCAGTGAAATTATCGATATCTTCACATGTAAAAATATCGTATTTTTACGTGTGTTCAGATACCACATTTCTCGGTGGTAGAAATCCTTGTAAAACACTGCCGTTTATATAATAAACAGTTTTAAAACACTCAAAACTGGTACCTCCAGGCCTTGATCAGTCTTGGTTAGTACTGTGTCCATATATGGCTTCACTGTCAAAATTACCCCTTGAAAGTGCTGTTCTTGTTGTTGAATGGATGAAAAATCTAGAAAAAAATGCAACAATGAAAATAGTTACTTTCGGAAGACATCCGTTTAGATTATTGTAGATATATTTCCCTTCGAGACAGACAGCTAGCCAGTTTTTAAGAAGTCAGTACAGGAGCACCCAACGACAGTTTCCTCCTAAATACACTGAAAACACTTTTTAGGCTATCCAGAGTACTTTTAGATATCTAGAAATGCATTCTAATCGGCGCTATGAAGTTTGTATCTGTTCGGTCATCCTAGGGGAACTTGCATGAGTACTTTCGAAATTACAAGGGTTTCAGTATTATTTTCCCGAAAATATTAGGTGCAATTTAACGTATTACGAAGGAGAGAATGTTTCTGATTCCCCTTTCCATCACATTTTTGAATCCGACAATTTTACGTTCCTCTTTTCTACGAAAAATAGGATAACCTGGGGAGTGAAATGTGAAAAATTCTACTTCCGAAAATCGTAGAGAATTTATTAGTTGCGCTTCGAAAATTATACATGAATGGAGGGGTCGTCACGAAATTTTTAGCCGTCCTCATGTAATAGAAAATTGTAGGCAATATTTGCTTCTCCGAACAGATATTTTACAGAAAACAGTCGTTGGGTGCCCCTGTCAGTATTACACGTACTTTAGCTGCTTGTAGCGCTCTAGGGGTTTATCGTTTATTACATATCTTCGATCAGTGATGAACATATAATCACTCTCTAATTGTATGGCCACACCGTTAAAAGAAATAGATGTTGCTTTCTAGGGTCATAACACAAGCAATGATGTGACGATTCGGTCGAAAGCGAAACCAAAATATCGGGAAACCTTGCATTAAATATGTAACAAGGAAGTAAATTTACATCTACATGTGTACACATAATCAAACAAAGTTGTGCTGGTTGTTCGGGTTAACACTGAGTTTAACTCAATATATAATAATAATTCGTTATTCCTCTCACCTTCAGGGCTATCAAATGTTATCACTGCTGTTCCCTTTTTGCTCAGGATGATTTTCTCAATATCCCCGCCGCCATTTTTCCGACGCTGAAAGTGAATAATAAGTTCCTCGGGTGTTGTGTGTGCTCGAAAGCCTGTTACAAATACAGAACGAGAAATGCTTGTCCAGTCAATTTCGCTTATGTCCCCTTTCACTCGTACAACTTCCGAACCTGCGATTTTCTCGTTTTCTGGAACGGGAGAGGCCATTTCACCAGAAGAAGTGGTGGAATTGCAATTTACAAAGCAAGACCACCGTTTTCTTAGAATTCGAAATAAATGACCGGAAATGATTATATCTTTTCCGGGAATCCCCGAAAGCTGCATGACCTATCGAATTTCGCCACGTATTTTTTCTTCTCGATTTTATATCATGCCAGAAGTTTCAAATAGAAGTAAAGTGTGACCTAAAAATTGCCTAGTCTGACCTAGAAATTGCTCAGAGTCATTAGAAATTGCCGATTACTCTAATCAATCATGAGATCCCTTGTATAAAAATGTAAATCTACACTGTTTTTCGTGCCAGGTGACAACCGGAAGTTTGCACGTTGATTTATTCCTTCCCAGTCTCACTCAATATTCTTCTCGGAACCAAAGTGACTTAAGTCGGTCGAGGTTTCGATTTGCAAGTTGACCGAATTCCGAGGACAATTCCCCCAAAATGTCGAGAGGATCAGGTCCAATTTTGCCCCATGGACCTAAAACGAAGGTTTTTACTACAGAGCAGGCGACGAGGAGCGTAGTTGTGACTAATATAGCGTCGCAGACTGCAGATAAAAACATCATTATTTATTTTCAGAGGGAAAGTAATGGCGGAGGAGAGATCGATAATGTACACATTCCACAGAAAGGAACAGCCGTCGTTACCTTTGAGAGCAAAGAAGGTTTGTGTGAAACTAGTTTTTTCATGTTATATTTATTTGTAGTAGTGTTTGAACGCGAATTGACTTCATGGTCGATGATGCTAGACAGTACTTCCGGCTTCGCCAACGTGGTTCGACGAGCTTGCAGAAGCTAATGGCTTTCATCTGATGCAGAAAGTGATTCGTCGGCCGAATAAATTTTGAAAACTCAGTTTTATATAGAGGTGCTGCGAAGCTACTGTATGCATGTTATGTACAATAGTCATATACGAATACCTTCATCAAAATAAAACCTTATGGCATCGTCAAAGGTCGCCGGAGAAAAAAAAGTTCCAAGAAAAACTTCTGAAGAGATAAAGGGAGTGTTATTTCATTCATGTAGGGATGGTGAATACAATTGTTATGAAGAGTGCTGTGAAACCTCTTTTCTGGAGGGTACGGATCAAATTTTAAGAATAATTGTTACTTTCTGAAGGGGTTACCGCAGGAAAAGAATTTGTTGGGATCAAGGCACCTTATCAATGGGATGTTGGGGTAGTGGTTTTGTGATTTGTGTACTTTAAGTCAAAAAAGGCGATCAGTGACATTTTTTTCCTAAATTATCTGCATCAACTTCCCATAGGCTACACTTTCTCTGTGCAATATCTTAAATAGTGGCTGTGCCATCTGCCCTGCACTTGAGCGGGGTAACGGGCACACTTGAATCTAACTGAATCTAACAAATACCTCAAACGTAGGTTTCAATTTTTAAATAAGATGTCTGAAGAGTGACCTTACCAATAAGTCTCCGACCTCCTAAACCTAGTTGATTTTAAAAAATTACTAACCTTGAAAACATGGTTTTAATGCAATACATGTACAGCATGAGATATGTTTTTTTTTTTTTTTGCATTACCTAGTTGTGGAGAAAGTCCTGAAGCATTCTCACATACTTGATGGGTCAAAATTAAAGCTTGAGCGATTTACTCCCGAACAATTCCCTGAGGTTAGTAAAAGAAAGTTACATTGGTTACTAACAAACAAATGCATTAATAATTTTGTGAGGAAAGCATCTTTTCAATGAGTCTTTCTTCTAATCGAGTAAAGACGTAGCTGAATTCAACCTGGGGTCTGATTGTTCTATACAAAATAACTGAAGAGTCTTAATATCTTGTTCCTCTCGGCTTCTTCAATGAATATGAGCTTTACTAATACCAAGGTATCTCTTGGAGTATTGATTAAGTAGCTTGGTGTGATGTTCTTAAAGTAGGAATCATGTGATCCGTATTACACCTGTAAACATGATTGGCAAAGACGTTAGCCAGGGTAAATTATGCGTGCAATACCTTCCAGCACCATGTCGACTTCCGATTTCTGGGTAACACTTTCACTCAGTTCCAAAGGACAAATTGTGCATGCCGGCAGTTACGTTTCCTTTATTTCATCGATTTTCTTTTACAGGTTCTTACGCAAGTTGAGGCGCGTGTTAACTTTGGTACATTTGATCCGTTTCCTCGTGATACTCAGAGCATCCTTGAAATTCTAGAGTCCAACACAGGAGTGAGATATCGCAACAGCTCAGGGTGTTTCATTCTTTCTGGGACTTTTATCCAAATTGAAGCAGCGAATAAAGTTCTTCGACACCTAGTGAAGGGAAATGGAGAGAGAAATTCAGCACAAACCGAGGCAGATCCTTCCAATAGATTGGATGAACGTGGCAGTGATTCATCTAGCATCTCTGAGTCCAGCAGCTTTGATGTTCAACCAAAGGTTATGCAACTACTGAAACGAGTACACAACAAGAAACTTCAAGACATTCAAGAAACCTTCTCTGTGGAGATTGATTGGATTGAAAACACAAACCAAGTGAACATATGTCCAAAGAAAGGGCTAAACAAGCTCATTCGTCTCCAAGAAGGCTGTGATGCTTTCATCAATCTTTATCAGGAATTTTATCCAAACATGGCACGGGAGGAAGTAGAACTCTCAGACAGTGCCAATGAAAGACTTGTCCAGCAAGTCGTTAGTGTTGCTGAGGCTGATGATCCCATAATAGTTGAAAAGGCAGATAAAAACTTAGTAGTCTATGCGGAGAAGAATAGCATTAGAGGCTATGTACAATTGTTGAAGGAAAAACTTGGTATAGCCCGCGACAGCAACAGTAAAAGGACAAGACGTGGCCAAGGAAGCACAGGACAAAGTACTTCGCTCAATGACAAAAGATCAAGGCAAGGTGGATATTTACCGACTCAACATTTAGTTCACGTACTGGACAACGAAGTGAAGTTATCTCTATACAAGGGAGATATCACCGATGAGGCTGTTGATGCTATCGTCAATGCAGCCAACGAGAGGCTTCAGCACGGCGCTGGTGTGGCAGCTGCTATTGTGCGCAAAGGGGGGCGTCAGATACAAGAAGAGTCCAATCGATTAATAAAACGATATGGGACACTTAATGTCGGCGGAGCTGTTTACACTAGTGGCGGTAGTCTTTCCTGTCGCTATGTAATTCATACTGTTGGTCCAGAGTGGTACAGACATGGGAAAGATATGAGCAGATCCCTTCTCTACCAAGCTTGTGTTGAAAGCCTTGCTCTTGCAGTGAAATTAAACCTTTCTTCCATTGCCCTAACGGCCATCAGCTCTGGTATTTTCGGCATGCCAAAAGACGCTTGTGCTGAAGTCATGTTTTTTGCAATAGAAGAATTCAGTTCAAGTGAAGGCGCCAAGTTTAGTACCCTTCGTGACGTGCGCATCGTCATCATTGATGAACCAACATTAAGCGTTTTTCAGGAAGAGTTTGTGAAACGCTATGATCCACGAGAGGCATCACCAGAAACAATGTCCACCCAGGGACGTTCCTCCTCCGATGGGCAGGAGTCAATTGCTTCGGCCCCAAACTCAAAAGATAGTGCGCATCAGTCGAATAGAAATGATTCATCTCTGCCAACAGGGCAGTCACAGTTTGGCGACAACACATTTTCTTTAGAAAAACGAGAGAAGAGCGGAGACTCTGGCCTACCAAGGGAACCAACTAATCCAGAAAAGGTCGGGAAGAGCACCCACAGCACCACACCCAATAGCGTCAAGGAAAATCATGAAAATGGCAAAACAAATAGTCCATCAAAGGGCCAGTTGGAGGAGGTAGATCCAGTAAAGAATAACAAAAGTACTGGTCCTCTAGTCTTATCTGGAACAGGAAGAGGAAGAGTTAATCTTGCAGCCAATTTTACTGGAAAGGAAACAACTGCACAACCAACCAGAGATACCCATCTGCTTAAACCCTCTTCAGAAAGTCAAAAGGGAGGAGTTCCTCCACCTGGCCTTACTGTGACACAAGAAGGAATAACTCTAGCGAAAGCCGTAAGTAATCATGGGGCAGGCGATCAAAAGGGTAACAGCGATGACACTGTTAAAGCCAAAAACGCAGAGGACACTGGTGAACCTAGCAGAAAAGATTTGCAAAACGCAAAGCAAGTTCAAAATTTAGCCAATCAAAATGATGACTCGGAAAATTCCGAAATCGAATCAGGCAACGGGAACAGAACAGATCAGACATCTTCAAGAGAGGGAAGTAAAAAACATTTAAATAACCACGATGTAGGTGACGACAAACAGCACCCTCAGCAGCTAAAGGAAGAAGATATCCCAACACTAGGCAAGAAAACTGACCAAGAATCTGAGGGACTTACAAACCCAACAGTCAATGACAACAATGAAGCAGTTTCGTCGCAAGATGAAGTGACCAGTCGGTCACCAAAGCCGGAAGAAACGCAGACAGCAAAGGAAAGCACACTTGAAGATGACCCTTCCGCCAGCTGTACAAGTCCGTCGTCTGAAGACTTATTCTCAAAACAAGACGTAACTGACGTCGATAAAGACAACATTGGAGAACGGAGGAATGCCGAGAAGTTTGAAAGTCAAGACCATACTACAGGTATCCAGTCCGATTCTGTACGCTTTAAATCGTGATATTTTGCAACACACTCCGGCAGCATACCTAACTGGGCTGTCTTCGTTTATTCTCATTCTTTGATATTCAAGAGTGTTAATATTATGGCCTAAAACGCAACCAATAATTTTGATTTTATATCAACTTACCTTTGTATTATTTCTTTGCCCTTGAAAGTCTTTTCCTATTCATATCCATTGCCATTTCGACATTAAAAAATTATGTAATTTGGTCATATTTTTGCTGCTACATGCGTTTATTACTGTTCCTATAGAAATCGTCACTTTTGAAATGCAGAGCTCTCAGCTCAAATATGAAAAGTGTTCACTGACTCGATCGCGACTTGTTCGTGAATTCCCGGCAAATAAACGAACTTGCTGGCTGTAGAATGTTCGAGTTGTTCCTACTCAATCGGCTACGCCTCTTGCAGTACTTGAATTTCTCGTTCATTTTGCAGCCAGCGTATGTGTTAATATGTCGGTTACTATAACCTTGAAATAACAGGTAAATAATAAGTATTTACTCTTGTATATATGTATTAATGTAAAGTTCAATATCTCATATCAAATCTTCCGCGTGAATAGATAAAAAAAAGTTGCTTTAAATCAAATGCCGAGAAGATCATCACAGCTAAAGACGCAACTTATGCAGTCGCGAAAAGAAAACCTGAAAAAGTCTAGCTTGCCGGGTTTCGAGGCCCTGACCTCTGTGATACCGATGCAGCATTCTAATCAATTGAGCTGGCAAGCCAACTGGGAGCTGGTCATTAAATTGGTTCGTAATATATCCGGGAAATATAAAAATGCTCTTATTCACAGAATTATTTAATCTAAACCTGAATATAGATTTGATCCTTATAAATCCTTCTTTTTAGGTCCACTAATGCTTTGTGAAGGGCAGAATGGCCATCAGAGTGGACAAAAATGCTTGATGTGCATGAATTTACATAATGATCCTGTTTTTCTTTGGCGGTGTGGAAGTAATCATCGCTACTGCAAGTCGTGTTCAGATTTTTTAGATGGTGCTGGAATTTGTCCGAAGTGCCGAAAGGAAGCTCTTCGTCAAGGAAACCAACCAGTTGGAAACATGACCTGGGTGACGGAGCCAAATAGTTCACTTCCAGGTTACGACAGTTGTGGAATTATTGTAACGCACTTCATCTTTGACCAAGGGATTCAAGGTGCTTGTCGTTATGTTTTGTTTTGTTTTCGTTAGCCAGTGACAGCTACACATTTGCGGTCGTACGACCCTATATTTCTAGCTGATCGGCGGATCGTTTGGTCTTCTCAAATCAGTATGTTCCCCAGTGAATTACTGTAAGCAGTTAACAAAATAATCTGTCGTCAAAATAAGAAAGGAATTAAGTTTGCAAGCTATGGAATTTAACATTTCTTCCAGGTCCAGAACATCCCAATCCAGGAAAACCTTACAAAGCCTTGAACACTACAGCCTTCCTGCCTTTGAACTCAGATGGTAAAGAAGTTTGTTGCCTGTTACGAAAGGCTTTTGATGCAGGGGTCCTATTTGCAATTGGGAAGTCACCGACTACTGGAGAAGAGAATAATATCATTTGGAACGGCGTTGAACTTAAGACAAGTCAAACTGGAGGTCCAGCCAGGTACAGTATTATGCAAAAGAAATTGAAGCTCGTTTCGACACATTAAAGGTTTGAGAAACTTTCGTAATTTGACCAAATTTCAATTTCGTCTTTTCTTGAGGCCATGCTCTTTATTATCGTCGGTTGCTCTGACGGAAGATCAACAAATTAATTAATGATCGTCATTTTCATCGTCCTCATAGACTCATCGTCATCCTCACCGTCATCCGTATAGAACCTTTACGTATGGACTAACTCGTCGCATTGTTTCCATAGACAGTAAAAAGTATCCAAAATTGTTTCACTCTCTCAGTGCAAGAGTTAGCCTTTCCATAGTTAAGCACCCTTCCAGTTGCAAAAGGTTTAGTAGAAGAGTCTAAGAAAAGGCACCTTGCAGTTTGCAGCTGGAAGTTCACGTGGTACAAATCCGTCATACTGGAGAGCCAGTGACGTGCTGGAACAAGACAAAGAGCTCGTATCATCTAATATGGTAATTTCCTTTGTTTGTCTTGTCCCAGTGCGTCCTCCAGCATGGCGATTTTTTACCACATGAATGACTAGCTGAAAGGGCGTATTGGCTGTTTCATGCTAGAAAAGTATTGGTAAGCTCTTCGGGTCTGGGTGTCCTGTGGCACGAGTGCCTTAACCTTTAGTACTTCTCCAACTTAACTCTTCACTCTATGAGTATCAGCATGTCTACTGTTTAAGAATGTAGCTTACGTGGTAAGCGTAACCAGAGCTGGGTAGAAGGGTTTTCACATTCCTCGTTTACGTTTGCCAGACAGTCTATTATTCTCAATTGTGCTTCCACTTTTCTCTTTTGAGGGCGTCTCAAGGAAAGTATTCCAAATAACCTGAAGATCGTTATTGTATGCTGTCTAATGTAGATGTAATCCTCGATCTTCCGTTGCAGTTATGGATACCCAGACCCCAACTATATTGATCGCGTGAAGAAGCAGCTGGCTGAAAAAGGAATTACACCTTCCCAAGAATGATACATTATTCTATAGCACAGTTTTGGACTATACGAGCTTATTTTCGAGACCTTGCTTGTGCGTAGGCTACCGTGATTATTCAACGCATTAAATAACATTTAGATTAAATTGAAATTGACTATAGAATAGAAAGCAAGAAAACAATATAATTTAGTGAAAGAGCGTCTAGTGGTGAGGGGACCTCACGAAGCCAAAGACTTGTGCAGGGAGATCCCCTCTTGATATCAGACAACTTAAAGGAGCTGTGTCACGAAATTCAGCCAAATTAGGTAATTACAAATTAAAATGCCCGTTAGATTAAGAGAAACGTAAAAATAACCGCATTACAGGAAGGTTAAAATAACACAACAGATACAACAGATTCCATGGATGGGCAAAATTGAAGAATATTGAAACGGATTGAAATTAGGGTTTTTGAAAACTGTTCAGCCTAACAGTTTTTCAAAGGTGATCTCTGCTGTTGGCAGCTTCAAAAGTAATGATCAAGAGACAAATTTGTGTGTCTCTAATCTCCGATTTTGTCATTTACATGTAATTTCTTTGCTTACTTTAAGTTCCAGGGCGAGCAATTGGCAAAATTAAACAAAATGAACTGGACTGCCGTGACACAAGCCCTTTAAGTTAGATACCAAAAAAACGTGGGCTTGTAATACTCTTTGACTATCATGTTATCTACAACCTCGGACAAAACCTGTTGTGACCGATGGCAAAAGTACCTATTTTTTCCTGTCATCCGGGCAAAAATGAAGACCGTAGCCAAATGAATGCCTGTTTCCCCCTCCCTTTATCCAATGTTGTTTAGGACAGCATGACAATTATACACGTTGGTTTTTACTCCAAAAAAATCTATTAAAAAAAGGAGATGAAGAGGGGACTTACTTTTTACTCAAAAGTTAGAAAATTGATGGAACTGTCTCAACACTTTTGTGCAAGGTTGTAGCCTTCCAGATATGTTAGCTAGGGGATTTGCTTTTTTGTACCAAACTCATATAGAAAGAAAACTAGAGTAGGTTGGGAACAGAAGCACTTAAATAGTATCCATGAGTTTTTTTAGAAGAATTGAGAACCTTTCCATTAGATAATACTAGCAAAGTTGAAAATTCCGATATTTTTCCAAGAACCTTCCTATTTAGATTTCATTCTCTTGCACGTCTGCATAAAGTAGGCGTCTGGAAAGATGTGGTAAAGAAGATACTGAAAGTGGTCTTTGTTCGAGTGCGGAAGCGTCCCTGCTTGGCCAAGTCCACTTCCCAATAATACCTTATAGACACCCTTTGGTTACCTAACAAACAAACTTTCTACCTCTGTGATAAACCCTTTATCCAAACTATGCATCCGTTCATCCCGAACTAGGACCTGGATATTAAACGTTAAGTTAGGGTAATTGATATAATCCAGTCTTATAGGAATGAAATAACTAAGACATCAAGTATGGTATCTTACCGGAATTTTAACAATCTGACTTGAGTCATGACGATTTTCTACTAGGATAATTAAGGAAGATAATGAAGGGGGATATGGCTTTCTTGGGCGTAAAAAACTGTAGTCATGTGCCCATTCATGCAGGGATTGGATTCGAAGTGATGAGTGTCCCTATTATACCTTGTGGGGTTCTCTTGGGCTAAATCAAGACTACGATGAAGGAAAGAGGAAACATGCATATGAGCGTCCTTAATCCTCCAATAGACACAATTTTCGCTTGTTAGTACAAAGTACAAATGGTGCAGAGTATATATGTAGTGGACATGCATCTCGGAAAGGTTAGAAAAACTCATCGATTATTCAAGTACAATGCCTCCTACTGACTTATTTCAGCACCAACTGCGAACTACAGGCAAACCTCTCTCTAGCGGTCAGCCCAGGGAAACAGACAAGAGGTCAATATATATTCGCTTTATAGTAATTTACTGACAATTTTATCCCCCAGGACTCCCGTAAATGGCCACTAAATACAGGGGTCCTCTTAATTGTCAAAGTTAAAAGAGGTTCGACAGTTTCACTGGGGAATAGTAGATTTTAGCAAGGGCTAATGAAATCAACACAAAAATGATGTAACCATGCATGCAGTTATGATTCAGCGTAGCGTTTAGCAGGTAAAAATCAACACGTTTTTTTTTTTTTTTTCCCATCAACCGAGCAAAAATGAATTTGTTCAGGAATGTATAGCATCTTCCTTTACTTTGATAAATTTTCACAAACACACATATCTTGTTTCCAAGGCCTTTTTACAGTACTGGACAGCAGTGTGAGGCTTTGGGAGTATCATGCCCATCATAATAGCAATTAGCTTAAAAAAGTGGTCTGGGGACGACACGACTTGTGCGCAACCGCGAGGTTTTAAACTTCCGATTTCCTTGGAATCGCGTTGCTTCAATCGTCTCGATTATTATACCTTCAGCAATGGCTCAACTTAAAAGCTTTTTCGATGATGTTAAAAAGGAGTTAGAATGTTCCGTGTGCCAGGAGTTGTTCAGTGAAGTCAACGAGCCCAAAATTCTAAAATGTCTCCACACTTTCTGTAAGAATTGTCCGGAAGCTTGGTTGAGGAGGCAGCGTGAAGGACAGCTAAGTTGTCCGACATGTCGTCAAATCACTGAGTGTCCCAGCAGCAACATTAACAGCCTCCCATCCAACCTTTTCTACAAACAGATGGTGGAGATTGTAGAGGCCTATAGTGGTACAGGACAAGAAGATGATTCACTGCATTGTGGGAACTGTGTGGAGAAAAAGCCTCTGCAGTTTTATTGCTTTGATTGTAACACCTTGTGTGAGAAATGCGCTGGTTCCCACAGCAAATCGAAGTTGTTTAAAGGCCACCACGTCAAGGAAATTGGTAAATTTGAGTCAAGCGATGTGCAAGATTACGCCCGAAAATCCAGCGTATGCAAGAAACACAACGATGAGTTAAGATTTTGCTGTGAAAACTGCAACGTTTGCATTTGTCGTGATTGCGCCATACTCGAGCACCGTGACGATAAGAGCCACAACATAGTTTCACTTGAGCAAGGATTTGAAAACAAGAAATCCGACATAACAAGTAAAATGAAAGACATTGCAGCAATTGCAAGTCGTTTAAGGGACCAAAAACAAACGTTGGATAAGAAAAGAGCAAGGGTCCTTGGAAGCATTGACAAAGCGACGAGTGAAATTCACCGAGTCGCGGAACAATGGATCAGCTTCATTCGCCAAAATGAGGCAGCCATGACCAATAAGTTGCTCGAGCAGAAAAATTCTTTTCAAGGTACATTTTCTGCCCAGATGTCCAGCTTAGACGAGAAACTCATTGAGATAGACAACAGCTTGGTATTTAGCAGCGACGTCCTCGCTCGAGAAAATCTACCAGAGATTTTGAACGTGGAAGTAATACTAGATCGAAGGTTTCAAGAACTTTCTTCGGAATTTCTCGTCAGTCTGAATTTTTCATGCGTTAAGTACGTTTCAAATGATGCATCACTGTCAATTATGAACGACGCGCTTGGAAAGTTAATCTTCACAAAAACCGACCCTATGCTCACAACAGCAAATGGCAAGGGACTTACCGAAGGTACTGAAGACAAAGTGTGCTCTTTCAAGATGGAAACAAGGGATTCGCGGAGACAAATAACTTACTCTGAAGTAGACAAAGTCGGTGTTGACATCCCATCAATGGATACAGGAAACGTCATAGCCCCCGAAATAACAGACTTTAAAAATGGCTGCTACGAAGTAAAGTACAAACCCAAGATTGCAGGAAAATTTGAAGTGTGTATAACTGTAGACGGTGAAGCAATCGTTGGCAGTCCTTTCCGACTTGAAGTGAATAAAAAGAGAAGGCAATCCCAACTGTCAGGTATTGTCAAAAGTGCTTAGTCTCAGTTGTGTAAACAGATCGGTTAGTACACTAAAGTAACAAAGAAGGTTAACTGGTTTAGCAAGTGCAATTGGATATAAGATAGATGTCACGAGGAACACTTGCTAAAACGGATTTATGGCCTACAAAGACGGCTGACAATTGAAAACTGGTTAGCTTACAAATAAATTAGTTCTGCCTTTCTTCTGAAACGTGTAAATGGTTAGTCCTTGTAGTCCTTGTAGTAGGACGAAATACTGTAGGCCCATTTCAAGGCACTTCCTTGATCTGTCTCTCGTGGGGCGTCAAGGAACCATAAAGGATAACGCCGTAACATTTTCTGACCATGACCATGCATCCTTAGTGCAATGTTAGTGTCTAAGTTTCATGGGGTGTGGTGCTATGCGGGGAGGGCAACTCGCTTGGGACTTATATCAGTAAGATTCGTTTGTGCCCCTTCCCATATTATGATGGGTCTTACGCATCATAAAGCTGGGAAAATATAATTTATGATTAACCGAATCTTATTCAGGAGCGCGACAGACTAATTATGAACAGTGTTGATTCGGCAATTCGGGTCAAACCAGACAAACCTTGTTATAGCATGTTAGCTCATTTTTCTTTTTGTTTCAGGGAATAAAGTATCATTCTTTTTCGACTTCATTTTATCTTAACATTTTATGAAGGGTGTGTAAACAGAAGAATAAAAAAATAAGAAAGAAGTTTGAAAAAAAAAGAAAACAAGAATAAGTAATATAAACCAAGGGGAGAAAATGGCGGGTAATTTTGATTTTTAATTTAATTTTAGGATATTTACAGACGCAACATTTAGTTCACGTACTGGACAACGAAGTGAAGTTATCCTTATATCAGGGAGATATCACTGATGAGCGGGTTGACGCCATCGTCAATGCAGCCAATGAATGGCTTCGGCACGGCGGTGGAGTGGCTGCTGCAATAGTGAGCAAAGGGGGACGTCAGATACAGGTCGAGTCTACGTGGATAGTACAGAAGTATGGGCCACTTGATGTTGGCAGGGCTACTTATACATGTGCCGGCAATCTTCCCTGTCGCTATGTGATTCACACAGTTGGTCCAGAGTGGAGGAAACATGGGAAAGAGAACTGCAAGCATTTTCTTCACAGAGCTTGTCTGGAAAGCCTTCATATTGCAGCAGTGGATTTAGAACTTTCTTCCATAGCTCTTACAGCAATTAGTTCTGGTATTTTTGGCATGCCGAAAGAAATTTGCGCTCAAATTATGGTAAGTGCAGTGGAAGCATTTAGTTCAAGTGAAGAAGCCAAATTCAGTACCCTGCGTGACGTGCGAATCGTCATCATTGATGAGCCGACGTTAAGCTTCTTTCAAAAAGAGTTTGTAACCCGCTATCTTTCCCAAGAAGCATCGCCAAAAACAATGACTACTCGAGAAAGTCTGCCCGATGAGCATAGAGTAACTCCTCCTACCCCACATTCACCAGTTTATAAGCCAGAAGATTCATCTCCTTTGACGGATGAAACTGGCAGGGCAGCGATAACAACTCTCTCCAAGGGCAACGAGAAGAGAACATAGATGGTAGCTCACCGCCAAACAACTTACACAGGGAGGGGATGAAACTCTCCCTGAGGACAACCAGAAGAGAATATAGATGGTAGCTTGCCGCCAAAAAACTTACCGAATAATAAGAACAGCCCTAAAGTTACTGTGTCTTGTAGTATAAAGCAAAGGTCCATTTCCCACCAAGCTACTGATAATCTCAAAAACGATAATGTGTCACAGAGCGTCAATGAATCATCTATTGTTGGAAACGACTGTGGGAAAAGGACGATGTCTCGGCAGTTGATAAGCAAAATGACTCATCTCTTTTGAGGGATGAAACTCAAAGTGGGATCGTCAGATACGAGAAGAGTCCAATCGAATAATAAAACGATACTAAACACTTAATGTCGGCGAAGCCGTTTACACTAGTGGCGGTAGTCTTTCCTGTCGCTATGTGATTCATATCGTTGGTCCAGAGTGGTACAATCATAGAAAAGATATGAGCAGATTCCATCTCCGACAAGTTTGTTTTCATACCCGTTCTCTTGCAGTGAAATTAAACCTTTACTTCCATTGCCCTCCCGGCCATCAGCTCTGGTATTTTCGGCATGCCAAAAGACACTTGTGCTGAAGTCATGTTTTTGACAATAAAAGAATTCAGTTCGAGGTAAGACGCCAACTTTAGTACCCTTCGTGACGTGCGCATCGTCATCATTGATGAACCAACATTAAGCGTCTTTCAGGAAGAGTTTTTGAAACGCTATGCTCCACAAGAGGAATCGCCAGAAACAATGTCCACCATGGGACGTTCCTCCGTCGTTCAAGAGACAACTCCTTCGATCCCAAACTCAGAACGTAATGTGTATCAGTCCAAAAAGAATTAGTGACTTACCAAAACACTCTAGAGGCCCAAACATGCCTGTGTCTTGACTAACTGTACTCATTTTTTCGGTGAAAGCTTGTTTGTCTCGTTCACTTCACCGTGCGCAAGAGAGAGAAGAGACTAAACGTGATTTAGAACGCGCATTATGCCAACATTTTTTTCATAAGATACTCAGCCTCATTCATTAATTGTTAAAACAATTAATGAATGAGGCTGAGTATCTTATGAAGTATTATGGAGATCGAGGAAGGTGTTATCCGTCGAGGCCGTAGGCCGAGGCGGATAACACTCTCCGAGATCTTCATAATTCTTCATGCGAAAAGAAAGCCGAATTCAACAATTGTTCTATTATTCATTTAAAATAATTCCTAATTTAAAAACATAGCTAAAACATGCTTACCTCCATCGATGTTAAGTTCATCTTCGACATTGCACGGTTAGGGTTGTTCAGCTCCGCAAACATTCTCCAAATAGCAGATGTAGCCCTTCGAGTTGTCTTCTTGCTGTTCTTGTCATGTTTTTAGCTATTTTTTCGCCTAGTTCTTACTCTTGAAACGAGTGAAATGTCCGCCATTTTTGTTTTCAGAACCAAAACAACTCAACCTCGTCCCCAGGTCTTCTCGGTTAACGGTGCATTTACCTGCAAAAAAGCTGCAGTTTTGACGTCATCGGTTCATTAATCGCAAAATTCTTCCAAATTTGGTCATCAGTAGCTGGTTATGGTGAATTATGCGTGTGCTTTTAGGCAATCGGAATCGGGGAAATATTTTGAACGAATAATAATAAATAACGATTATTTCGGAGAAGGTTCCAAACCTAGAAGTAAATAAAGTGTTAGTATCCATAGGTATTTTTGGTGCCATAACAGCTCATTAAATAACACTAGCAAACTTGAAAATTGCGTTATTTTTCAAGCAACCTCCCAGTGCAGTTTTTTTCCGATTTTTTAAACATATATTACGCGTCTTAGCTTACAAACGGCCAATGGTTGCGAAATTCCTTTCATTTTCTCCACGCCTGCATTAAGAAGCGTCTGGAAAGATTTGGAAAAGGCGGGTCTTGGAATGGGGGAGGGGGGAACCTTTAAGCGCTGAAGCGTCCTCTAAGTTACCTAGGAAGCAAACATTCTTCTGTGGTGCCCCCTTTATCCAAGCTATGCATCCGTTCATCTCGTAGTAGAACTAGATACTACTTAACGTTTGTTAGGGTAATTTATATAGTCCAGTCTTATAGGAATGAAATATCTCAAAACATCAAGTATGGTATCTCCATGGAATGGTAAAAATCTGACTCTCTAAAGGGTCATGACGATTGATACCTGGAGTGAGGGAGACGACGGCGATGTGGGTTTCTTGTGTAAAGACTAAACACTGCAATGTAGGGCTCCATCGGATTTCGGATTAGAAAAGAAAATTAAACTTCCCTAACATCACTTGAGGGGTTCTCTTGAGCTAAATCGAGAGTATGACCTTATATAGCCTGCGTAGCAGGCGTCGAAAGGGGTAGGGGGTAGGGGATAAGAAGGAAGGGGAAAAGGGGAGGGGGAGGGGACGCCTGCTCTAAGAACCCCCTTTTGTTCATATCTGCGGACGCTGGCGTCCGCAAATTCCTGATTGGCTGAGCCGTAATGAGTAACATATTGAAATGCGCGTTTCACAAATCAACAAACAGTCGAGATGGCAGCGGTAGACGTGGATGTCGTAGAGAGTGCTTTGAGAGATGTGAATTTATCTAGTGGTAGAGAAACTGTTTTAAAACCAGAGCAAGAATCAGCAGTAAGGGCTCTTTTAGCCGACAGAGATGTTCTAGCGATTTTGCGGACCGGATACGGCAAGAGTTTAATTTACCAAATGTTTGTACGCGCGAAGAACTACGAGCGAAATGGTAATGCGGCGATTCTCGTCATTTCGCCACTGAAAAGTATTATCGAAGACCAGTTGCAGGAGATGGAATTGTTGGGCTACCCAGCTGGGTAGATTATGCTCTGGAAGGTTCTGCATTTCACGAGGAGCCGCAAGGGGTGATATTTTTGCACGGCATCTGGCGGCATATCAAAGAATTTGGAATTGAAGGGCAAATTCCTAGAATATCTTCGCCAGTTAAGCTAGAGAAAAGGTGTTAAAAAACCTCAGGATCCAAAACAACTCGTCAATCAAAATATCACTTGGACCTTTTCGCTAATGAAGAGCTATCACGCGGCTAAGCTTGAATTAGACATATATTGAAATAGGAACTCGTGTCAATAAAGTATCAGAAGTGAGCGGGAATCGCTCCTGGTTAAAAAACTGGTTCACAGGGATATGCATCTCTTCTAGTTAAGAGAACGGAATCAGAACTGCTTTTCATGCAGGAACAGGTTTTCTTCGGGCTAACTACAAAACCTCAGCTTATTTCACTCCTTGACATTGTCAAAGCGCATTTTGTAAAGATAACTTTTTCCGCTTTATGAGCTTTTTTTTTTTTATATTCTATTCCATTAATGTTTAACCTCCCTCAAAAAGCTAAGTAATATAAATGCTGTTGTTAAAAAAAAAAGCGTTTTACCTGTTTACGTGAATTCGCTACCCAAAGATCACTATGCTGAAAGGACAGGGTAAAATTTCCAGGAGAGAGGCATTAATTTTTTTTCCCACGAGGTTACAAAGAGAAAATGCAATGATTATTATTAATGTAACCATCAGGTATACTCTACCCACGAGTTTACGGACAGCAAATGCAGTGATTATTATTAATGTAGCCATCGGGTATATTCTACCCACGAGGTTACAAAGAGAAATGCAATGATTATTATTAACGTAACCTTCAGGTATGTTCTACCCACGAGATTACAGAAAGCAAATGTAGTGATTATTATTAAATGTAACCGTCAGGTATATTCTACCCACGAGGTTACAAAGAGAAAATGCAATGATTATTATTAACGTAACCTTCAGGTATGTTCTACCCACGAGGTTACAGAGAGAAAATGCCGTGATTATTATCAAATGTAACCGTCAGGTATATTCTACCCACGAGGTTACGGAGAGCAAATGCAGTAATATTATTAATGTAACCATCAGGTATGTTCTACCCACGAGGTTACAAAGAGAAAGTGCAAAGATTATTATTTACGTAACCTTCAGGTATGTTCTACCCACGAGATTACAGAGAGCAAATGCAGTGATTATTATTAAATGTAACCGTCAGGTATATTCTACCCACGAGGTTACAAAGAGAAAATGCAAAGATTATTATTATCGTAACCTTCAGGTATGTTCTACCCACGAGGTTACAGAGAGCAAATGCAGTGATTATTATTAACGTAACCTTCAGGTATGTTCTACCCACGAGGTTACAGAGAGCCTGCAAATGCAGTGACAATTATTAGATTTTTAGTGCAACTATCAGGTTGAGTTCCTCCATTAAAAGAGTTTTTTTGCTAGGGTTAAACAAGTTTGGCTTTCATGAGTTTCAAGGTGCAAGAAATTATCAGTATAATTATAGCACACAAACATTGTCATCTAATTTTTCGCACGTAGCCGGAATAAGCCAAGAAATGAAGCACATATAACGAAAAATCGTTCTCAGATGATCTCCATATTAAATAAATTATACTAAACGTTGCGAAAGAAATTATTGTTCGTATCCGTCTTATCCATCGTAAAAGCGAGGGGTCATCGCATGACATCCGGTATATTAAACAGAGGTAATACTCACGGGTTTCACGAGTTGTATGCACTATTTTTCGCCGAGAAACAAATTTAAACTTCAATTCTTACCTTACAGTAGTCCGTTCTTTTACCTTGCATTCGACAACAAATCTGTTAAAGGCGAACAAAGCGATTCCGGCACTCTTCTTTATGATGAGTAGCAAGCCGCAGGAACTGAAGCCGCTTGACTGAAGAAAAATCCACCGATATGCACGGCATTCTCACTACAAATATAAACAAACGTTACGGGGAAAAACAGACGAGGAGGAAAAAATGCCAGATCTTCGCCTTGGCAATGTATTCCAGCTACCATGCCGGCGTATCTCCAGAAGGTGGACTCGAAGTGGGACAAACCTTGTGATTTTTTTTAGACGCCCTTTGCGCGCAAACTAATTTATTCTGGCGCGAAATGAAGATTAACAATAGGTATACTGAAATCTAATCCACGACAATAAGATTTTCGCACTGTAGCGCGACATATTAAATGCCTATTTTTACAAGTACGCGGAGAAAGTGGTCCACTAGTTTAACTTTTTTAAGATGAATTTACTCCACAAAGGCAAAATGAATGTTTTATCTCTATGTTTTTTACGTGCCGGATTAGAAGGCAGAAGTAAATTCATCATACAGACCCCATCAAAATGAAAGTACACGAATGAAACGGAATAAGTCTGGAACGGTTTAGTTTCTACTCGGCAGCTTCTTTGCTTTTATAACAAAAATTTAATGTTGCAGTCTGTTTTAAACGTTGGCATATCAACGCGCACAGTCACTGAATGAAAACAACAGTCACGATCACGTTCTTCGAAACCGACCAGACGCGCGCGACCTACCACTGTTATGGCAAGCAATTATCCTGAAGGTGTTAATGTTCCCGTGACAGTCTTCGCACTGAAGGTGTAAATGGTAAACCGAACGGTCGCTTTGATCATCAGAAAGACCTGTCAACTTTGATGATTTAACTGATTAAATTACGGGACAGAAATTTTACTCCTTGCGGCTCCTCGTGTACTGGGTAAATATTATTTTAGCCGCATGTTTCACACTGAGAGGTCATGACATACATATCGATTGACTGTAGTTATTGTTTTCTGGTCGGCAGGATTTGCCTTCTGATGCAAGCGCAATTTCTTTGACCTCTTCTGAAGCGTAAAGCTTTTTTTTATTACGGCTGAATAAGGGTTCCAATTTTCTCCAAAGTGCCTTCTGGATCTAAATAACTAAGCGAATTTCTTTAGTCCGTGAGTGTAATGTTTTTCCCCGGGGGGGGGGGCACTTCGATAATTTTTGGGTGGGTATGTGCCGCCCGGGACTCTAAATTGGCACCCCGTTCTAAAAAAAATTTCCCCTAAAATTGATACCCCGTTATAGAAATGAGCCAATTTTTTATACCCCGTTCTAGAATTCGCCCTAAAACTGATACCCCGTTCTAGAAATGGGCCAGTTGCTTATACTCCGTTCTAGAAAGTTTGTAAATTGAGAAAGCCCTGTTTTTTAAGAGATATTTCTTTCCTTGTTCGACTTATACATCAAATAAATGCTTCTTCATAATCAGCAACAATTTTAAGCAGAAGATAAAGCCGTGATCCACAATTTTTTATACCCCGTTCTAGAAAACGCCCCTGAAATGGATACCCCGTTCTAAATCAGGAGCTTCAAAATCACGACCCCGTTGGGCGGCACATACCTGTATAGGTAATGTATGGGAGTGCCCCCCCCGGGTGTTTTTCTGCAATGGCGAGTGTAGCGACACTTGATTGACAGTAAGCGTAATCGGATTACTAGAAAATTGGTAGGCGTTATGCAAAAACATAGGCTCTTAAAGCAGGCGCTCCCTTCCCTTTTCCCTTTCTCCCTCCCCCCTCCCCCTCCCCTTTTTGCGCATGCCACGCAGGCTAGACCTTATATATAGGAAAAGAGCAAACGTTAATCAGCAAATAATATAGAACTTAAACTGGCCACCCTTGATCCGCCACAAGACATAATTTTCCCTCGTTATTACGATGTGCTGAGTGGTGTATAGCATATCTGTATTGGACATCTCGAAAAGGTTAGAAAAACTCAATTATTCAAGTACAAAGCCTCCTAATACTTATTTCAGCGCCAATTGCTAACCATAGGCAAACTTCTATCTAGTATATCACTTAATAAATGTTCCGTTTATAGTAATTTACTGACAATATTATCGCCCAGGATTCCAGTAAGTGGTCACTAAATACATGGGTCCACTTAATTCTCGTAGTTAAAAGAGGTTCGATTGTTTCACTCGGGAATTGTAGATTTTAGCGTGGGCTAATGAAAGCAACACAAAAACTGGGTGACCAGACATGCAAGTATGATTGATTTAAAGAGGACAGACGGCAAATTGTTGTTGCTCGAAATATCTAAAAGTCGTAACTGTTCATCAGTAGGATGCCTACAGTATAAAATGCTTGCAATTCCACGATTGTTTTCGGCTCCATTAAATCCTATACCAATTGTAGACCATTTTAGGAGGAGCCACCCACAATCTGAGCAGAGTTACTGACAAGGTATATGAGTATAGGAAAAACAACCCAAAGAAAATGTAATGCGTTAAATAACAAACAAAAGACACTAAATGCACACGTCAATAACATAAGGAAAGAGTGCGGCACATACAACCTACACTAACCGAAAGGATAATAAAAGGATTAAATTAACAAAGGATATAGCGGCATCCTTCAGCTATTGAGTGCCAGTCTCATTTCCTGCAGTGCAGTTTGACACTTATCGATGATAACCCCATTGTGCTTGAAGAATTTGTTAAAGGATTTGAAAGGTAGAGTGGATTTAAAGCCTTGTTGATTAGATTTAGCAGGTAAAAATCAGTACCTTTTTTTTTTTTTTTCATCAACCGAGAGCAAAATGAATTAGTTCCGGAATATATGGCACTGTCCTTTAGTTTGATAAATTTTCACAAACACATTTATCGTTTTTTCAAGGCCTTTTTTCAGTACTAAACGGTAGGGTGAGGCTTCGGGAGTGTCATACCCCCTCATAGCAGTAATTAGCATACGAGAAGGTGGTCTGGGGACGACATTTGTTTAAGAGTCTTTGAGTGGGTGAGATTCGAGGTTGTTAAACTTCCGCCTTTCTGGGAATCGCTTTGCTTTGATCGTCTCGCTAATTCCGTGGGATGCCTGTGGCACTCCCACGGTAAAAATCCGGTTCGGTTGTACCCAACTTTGCAAAGCCAGCCAATAGGATTGCCTAAAATCTTTATCGATTAGCTCTTCTTCCAAGCCGACCAATCGGATCGTACAAAGTCTGTATCGATTTTTAATCGATTTGCTTCCTCTAAAGAACGTTGAAATCAGAACGTTCCTTGCCAAATTTGTCGCGCTAGAGTTTTCCCACTCGTGCTTTAGGATGGCTTGTTAACCAGCGAAATCCTTCGGGATACTGTGTTGCTACCTGTTGATAGCGTGGTGCACTCGATGAAGATATTGCTTTAATTGCGAAATGTCAAAGTCTAAGTAACAAGTTAGATATGCTAATTTACTGCACATTGCAAATGCACGTGCAACAAGCTACGTATGCTAATGAGTTACATGTGAACGTGCAACACTGACAAGTCACAAAAGGCGACCTAAACCAAATTATTTCTTTCCTTCATGATTCTTTTTTGTTTAGGTCTAGCTTTTTCATAAGGTTTGAGTAGCGTCTGGTCGTGGGCCATGATTTCCGATAGATTTTTCTATTCGGAGTTCGCCAGTTTTTGCCGAGCACAGCTAGAGTTCAGTTTTTTTCTTTTCTTATCGAAAACACGTTGACGATGGGAGGTTAAACCGCGTAAATTTCAACTCGTACCCTTGACGATTGGCGGTGAAATCGCGAAAATATTGTCCTCGTCAATGGACGACTCGCTTTCGGCATGGATTGGACTTCTGGATGGGACACGGATCAGGAGTGGACCTTAGTAAACTTATTATACCTTGGAATCAGGGATAATCATTGGAACTATGTTAACTTTGAGACCTTGGAAACACATTGCAATTAATTTTTAACCGTATCAAGAGCATCTTGGAATATTAAACTTTCATCTTGGATTAAAACATTGGAACTTTATCGAACTTTGTAACCCTGGGTTCGACCCTGGATAAAGCACGCGGATTTTTTGTTTTGTTTTGTTCTATTCACTAAAACTACAATGTTTATTTCTCTTTGAAAAAGTTACCTGTGGCAACTTACTACCAAGATATGATGTATCTTTATACATATAGTTCCCGTTCAGGTTAATCAGAGCGCATTATGCGCATGTCCTCCATTACTTGTTTCCGTTAACATTCCAATTTAAGTTACACGGGTAAACCTTGTTTTGATGCAAAATAACTTCTTTTTCTTATCCAAATCGTGCTATGAAAATAACTACATAGCGATAGATCAAAACAAGATCAACTCCATCCTTGCGACCCCTGACAACTATAAATTTAGCTTGCGTAGCAGGTGTCGAAAGGGATAGGGGATAAGGAGGAAGCAAAAAGGGAATGTGGATTGGGGGGAAATAGTAGCCTGCGTGATAAATTCAGTCATAAGCACATTAAACCAACCCATACAGGTAACCTCATAACATCGATGCTCATAACATGACACATCTTTCCGGTTTCCCTAATTTTCCAAATTCAGATAGAACGCCATTATTCTTCCATAGACCAACGCATCCCACGGAAACGACTTTAGGCGTCTTGTTACCTTCAGCAGTGGCTGAAAGTAAAAGCTTCTTCGATGATGTTAAAAAGGAGTTAGAATGTTCTGTGTGTCGAGAGTTGTTTAGCGAAGTCAACGAACCAAAAATTCTAAAATGTCTCCACACGTTCTGTAAGAATTGTCTGGAAGCTTGGCTGAGGAGGCAACGTGAAGGACAGCTAAGTTGTCCGACATGTCGTCAAGTCACCGAGTGTCCTAACAGCAACATTAACAGCCTCCCATCCAACCTTTTCTACAAACAGATGGTTGAAATTGTGGAAGCTTATAGTGGTACAGCACAAGAAGATGATTCGCTGCATTGTGGGAACTGTGTGGAGAAAAAGCCTCGAATTTTTATTGCTTTGATTGTAACACCTTCTTGTGCGAGAAATGCGCTGGCGCCCACAGCAAATCGAAGTTGTTTAAAGGCCACCACGTCAAGGAAATTGGAAAATTTGAGTCAAGCGATGTGCAAGATTACGCCCGAAAATCCAGCGTATGTAAGAATCACAAGGATGAGCGAAGATTTTACTGTGAAAGCTGCAACATTTGCATTTGTCGTGATTGCGCCATACTCGGGCACCGTGACGATAAGAACCACAACGTAGTTTCACTTGAGCAAGGATTTGAAAACAAGAAATCCGACATAACAAGTAAAATGAAAGACGTTGAAGCAATTGCAAGTCGTTTAAGGGACCAAAAACAAACGTTGGAGAAGAAAAAAGTAAGGATGCTTGGAAGCATTGATCAAGCGACGAGTGAAATTCACCGAGTCGCGGAACAATGGATCAGCTTCATTCGCCAAAATGAGGCAGCCATAACCAAAAAGTTGCTCGAGCAGAAAAATTCTTTTCAAGGTACATTTTCAGCCCAGATGTCTCGCTTAGACGAAAAACTCATGGAGATAGACAGCAGCTTGGTATTTGGCAGCGACGTTCTCGCTCGAGAAAATCTACCAGAGATTTTGAACGTGGAAGAAATACTGGATCAAAGGTTTCAAGTAATAACCGGAATTTCGCGTCAATCTGAATTATTCATGTGCCAAGTACGTTCCAAATGATACATCACCGTCAATGAACGACGTGCTTGGAAAGTTAATCTTCACTAAAAGCGACCCTTCGCTCACGACAGCAGATGGCAAGGGACTTACCGAAGGTACTGAAGACGAAGTATGCTCTTTTAAGATAGAAACGAGGGATTCGCAGGGACAAATAACTTACTCTGGGGTAGACAAAGTCGGTGTTGACATCCGGTCAATGGATACAGGAAATGTCATAGCCCCCGAAATAACAGACTCAAAAAATGGCTGCTACGAAGTAAAGTACAAACCCAACATTGCAGGAAAATATGAAGTGTTTATAACGGTAGACGGGGATGTAATCGTTGACAGTCCATTCTGGCTTGAAGTGAAAGCAAAAACAAGGCAAAAGAAAGTACAGAAGAGAAAAGTAATTGGAAAACCTGTATTCTCGTCAGGTATTGTAAGCTTAGTTATTTTGTCTCAGTTGAATAAATTTGTATAGGTAATAGCATGATTTGTAGTGATATTTGGTATAAATACCACGAGTGATATTTATGCCAAATATCAGGTACAAATCATGCTATAAGGTTTGTAATTTTCACATGTAGGTATTTCAAATTAAACTGAAATACCACTGCTCTAAGCCAATCAAATTGCAGTAATTTCTCATGTAGTAGTATAAGTATGTGTAATCAAATGGTGACGAGTGAAATTAAGGAATAATTTCACGCGCGTTTTGTCCAAATCCTTTTAATTTCCCGAGCCTTTAGGCGAGGGAAATTATTAGGATTTGGACAAAACGCAAGTGAAATTATTCCCTAATTTCACGAGTATACCATTTGATAACCTTTTAATATCATGGGTGACGAATTACGTTAGCAAACTTGGATTTTTCACGTGTTTATCCTGGGATATCGATCGAGAACTCCTGCATTCTCTCGAACGTTTAGCGCTTAAATTTGGTTTAAGTTCAGAGTTTTTCGACAAGTACCTGTCAGAATCCTTCTTGGTTTGTTCTTTCGTGTGTTCAGGTTTTCTAAAACGTCTTTTTGTGCCCTGACATCTTCATTCACGACATTTTAAAACTTCGTCGCCATCTTGACACTGAGACGTACGGAAGGTTGCCATGGCAATTTTGTAATTTCACATGTGAAATTACAAATTAACGCTGAAATTTCCCGCCAAAATTAAGGAGTAATTCGTCACCTATGATATTAGATAGATTAGTTCACGAATTTATGCTAGTCTATAATCTTAATGATATACACCTAAGTTGTCCTATAGTACCTACTTTAAGTGCATTTACCTAGTATGGGGTAGGCGAATCCTTGTTTTCATTTTTTGATTAGCATAGGCTTTTCGTTATCTCATGTAGCTAATAAACCAAATTTCTGAATATTGAAAGAGCATAACAATTTCAGTTATCTCTGAAAATTTGAGCCCGATATACCAGATAGTCAGGAGAAATTTTCTTCAAAAACCCCAAAATGTACAAAGGGTCTATGAGTTCATCCTAAGGTTTTGGCACTCAGTAATTTTACAGTTTTTGCTTGCCGCTATTTTTTTGTTGCTGATTGAAAAGAGCTAAAACTTGCACAAACTGCATAAATTTCACCAGCCCTTTTAATTTTTTAACCTAATTGGTATATACGGCTACATCTTCTATGGGTTAACTGCCTATGGTGATGAGCAAAAATGTAAACAATGAGGTCACGATGAATCCGCATATATTCCATGAGGCAGAGGATATTTCTAAATGAGTATTAAGGGACTGTGCAATAATTATCAGGAGGGGGGGGCTGAAAAACTAGAGTTATCTAGCAAAAACTTAGACAGTACCCCCCCTCCAAAACAAAAAAAATTCGTTCTAACCCCCCCTCTGTTATGTTAAAAATAACGTCGCACCCCCTCCCCCCTCCCCTCCAACCACACTGGTAAACTCAAAAGTGTACTGAACTGCCATCACAGCTTCAATAATGACAAACGTTGTTATGTAACATCTAGTATCGAGAAGGATGTTGATCGCTTGATTGAAGATTTAGACAAAGTACCGGGGTGGTTACCACATTGGCTCAAAATCTAAAACTTCTGAAGCCAGAAAGAGAAAGGAGAAGAGAAAAAAATCAAAGAACAGGAGATTGAACGCTTCAAATAACAGACGAACTGCAAGCTCTTTTTGAAAAAGAGCTTGCATTATATTTAGATCCTTAGGAAGAGAGCCTTTTGAACTTTGTTATGAGCCACATGTATATGGAATTCAGCAAATCGATTCAGTCGATGAAGAAACATTACTTTTATTCACATCAAAAACCGACAAAGCTTGTCTACGAGATCTGTTTGATTCCCATTTTTTTATGGCGGAAGCTGAAAAACAAGTTCATGATTTTTGCTTTACATAGGATCAGCTCAATTAATTAGAACACGCGTTAAAATTGATCAGGTTTGAATTTGCTTTTCATTTTGATGGAATATTTTCAATAATCGTTTAACAGCTGTTCGTGTTGATATTTGTTACAGTCTATCATGATGCCTGTATTGAGAATCTATTATTGCGTTTAAGTTTATTTACATTTCGAATAAAACTTAAGGCCCCCCCTCCGTCAAATGAGTGATTTTACTTTGAGCCCCCCCTATCTTGGCAGCAATTTTATGTAATGCCCCCCACTCTAGTTTTTCAGGAGAAAAGCATGAAAAGGTTGGTTCAGTCTTTGAGGGAAGAACTTGGCTTAACGAGTAACCAAGAAGGAAAAAAGGCCAAGCCAAGTCAAGGCAACAAACGTGTTGGTGCTCGCTCGGAAAACGAAATACCACAGCAAGGTCAGCATTCGTTGACACAACATTTGAAATATGAACTGAGAAACGAAGTGAAGTTATCCTTATATTAGGGAGATATCACAGATGAGCGGGTTGATACCATCGTCTATGCAGCAAACGAGTGGCTTCGACACGGAACGCACTAAATAACATCGACCTAAACCAGATGAGTCATCGATATGTCAGCGGCGTCTTACAAAATGAAAATGAACCCTCGACTTCCGCTTACTTGATCGATCCATGGATAATAGAAAGAGTCTTTCTATTGTCCATGATCGATCGCTGCGAGAATGTTAATTTGAGTTTTAAAAGGGTCAATTGTTGACATTAACAGTTTATATTACTAAAAACTGTTAAATCTACAATAGACTCAGAAGTATTGAGCCGAATTACGTGGCTTATGGTCGTTCCGGAGAACTTGGCTGAGGCTGGTTTCGGTCGATGTTATTTAGTGTCGACACGCCAAGAAATACTATCTAACATCGACCGAAACCAGGTTTCATTGACAGAAGCTAATAAGCTAATAGCTTACTTGCAATCCCGGGGGGGGCTCCCATATGAAAGGGGCGGGGATGCTCGTCGGAAATTTTGAATTAAACCTGTGAAGGAGTCATTCTTGCGTGTTTTCTTGCCACAACTAAACAGCTTGGTCTGGTAATGTGAGTGTGTAGCGCTTATCAGGAAGAATACTTCAAAAAACTGACGGAGTATAAAATCTTGGATGTTCTTTAATTAAAATATTTGATGTCCCTTAAATAGTTCCTTTTTAACTTCCAAGCGAAAGGAAGGATGATTATTAATTTGATTTTATTACTTTTTGGTGTTTTTTAAGATACACATTAATGTCCAAAAAAGGCAACATTCATATCATGTGCGCAAATATACCAGTAGAGGATCTAGGGGAATGGTCCAGGGATTCCGATCCCTCCCCCTCCCCAAATACATCATCACATCAGATGACTGTTTAGTAGCGGGTAGGCCGAGTAACTCTTCTGAAACTGATCTTGCCGGCGAAGAATCGCCTACAACTTTCATCTGGGAGCTTAAAGATGAATCTTGCATTGCACCGGCAATGCCTTTTAGCCATGGAATATTCTATGTAATATGGAACAAGCTTGTTTATAGTGACGAAAACTGAGATCTTTCAAAGCTGCGTATTATTAAAACGCTTTAAAAGAGTACACAACTCTGGACACTCCCATCAAAAATTCCTGGATCACTTCACTGCAACATGCAATCCGTGTTCTAGATCCTGATATCTAAAAATAACCTGAAGTTCAGGTTATTTTTTGGCTTACTACAAAATTGAATCAATCTTATTTAAAATACAATTTTTCAAAGGTTCTAAATAGTTGCCGGTTTCCTCAATGTGTGATAAACGCAGTGAACGGTTGCCAGGTCTGAAAATCTTGAATTCATGCTTTCTGAATTGCATATGATTATGTATTGCAGGTCCACAACATCCTAATCCGGGGAAGTCTTACAGTCCTTTATACATCTCAGCCTTTCTACCACACAATTCAGAGGGAAAAGAAATATGCGATTTACTTCAAACGGCGTTTGAAGCAGGTTTACTGTTTACAATTGGAACATCTCCCTCCACAGGAGAAGAGAATAAGATTATTTGGAACGACATTGAACTGAAAACAAGTCAAAGTGGAGGACCGGCCAGGTAGTGTATTAAGCAGCCAAAGCGAAGAATGTATTTTTAAAAAGTGGAATAAATCAAACCATAATTCCATCCACAGCAAAAACAAGGGGAACGTACGTAAAATGAGTCTCTAACCGCTTTTTTTAACGGGTATTTGAAACAAAATGCTGGATGTAGTACCCTATCCGTGGCGAAAGGAAGAGCAGAGAAGAGTTGCTGTATGGTACACAAGTCGTGATAGTCTTTTAAGCTTCGTGATTATCCTGAACCTTTTTCACAAACCCCTCCACTCTCAGTCAACAGTTGGGTTACCAGGCTGGCATATTCACTGCTAGAGAATATAGTATAAAGTAAGCGTAGCAAGCCTAAAAGGAGATGGGAGAAGAAGGGGCTTTTTCTCCCTCTCACGCCCTCCCATTGTAATTCTTCAGTGTGTTGCCACTCAACTTAGTGATTGTAGCCAGGTTGACTACAATAAATAAAGAAAGGATTCCAAAAAACCTCGTAATTTCGATTACGTTTGCTGTCTAATTTATATCTGTTCAGTTAATTTTGATGATATCTGTTCGTTGCAGTTATGGCTATCCGGACTCTACCTACATTGATCGCGTCAAGGCACAGTTGGCTGCATAGGGAATAACGCCATCTCACAAATACGGCAACTGCACCACAGAATAATTTGGAGTTTCATGTTTAATTAAGGAGCCTTTTTCGAGGCATTTATAGTATGAAGGGAGACAATTTTCCACGGGCGTAGAGGGAGGTGAGTTTAACTCTTTCAGCTCGAGTTAACAAAATGTTTCAAAAGCGAACTGTTTTCGTGTTTTCCGGAAGCTGATCACGTGATCAACTAATGCAAAAGGCCCATTTGATCCACAAATATCTTTCTTTGAATCCCGGGGGTACTCCTGGGAATTCTTGGTGGGGCTGTGCCGCCTGGTTCTTCAAATCCTGACCCGATTTCAGACCAAAAAATGTAATTTTCCGCGCCCGTTTTTCAGACTAGACCGTTTTCAGACCTCTCCTTTAGGCAGAAATTATGTTATCATTACTTCGATTCGGAGCGCAAACAAAAAAATTATTCAAATCCATTTCGAATTCTCATATTTCTCTTTCTTTCTTACTCATTTGGAATTGAAACGATAAATACGTTCATACACTCCCGTACTTCCCCCAAAACCATACCCAATTCCAGACCAAAATGGGCAAATTTTATACCCGTTTTCAGACCAAAACGGCGCATAAACCCCACCCGATGGGGCGGCACATACCTATATGGCTCATATAAGGGAGTACTTCCCGGGCTTTGAATTCGACCTCGTTCATTCAAGCATAAACAGTACAGGGGAAGAATTGTTATTCAGTGTTTACTATCATGTATAACACTTACATATCTGTAATAAATAGCCATTTCAAGGTCAAAACTGAAATACTAGACCTCAGGCTGATTCAGAAATATGTATAGCTCTGTTGGAGTTGTAAATTCGCTGGATACTCTGGATTTCAAGTTCCGATTCAAGTGACAGGGATGATCGATTGATTCTGGGGGGGGGAGGGGCTTATTTAAAAGGATCTGAAGATTCGTGGTAGTGTCTATGTACCCCGGCCAGGTAGCCCAAGCTCGAGCATTGGCATTGTTGCCTCACATTCGAAATATAAGGATTTGTAAGGAAAAAACCTATCTTTTCTCTAACCAACGAAAATGAAAGGGTTTTAATAAAAACAGCGTATCTTACATAAAATGTGTGTTACGTCTCTCCTGTGTGGTCTATGGGCCGATTTGTGGCCGTTTTATGGGTTGTATTGTAAACTGTTTTCTCTATATATAAGGAAATAATTACATGTATTACATGCAGGGTAAAGAAGCTGTTTGATGCTAGGACATTACAACAGGTTATAAATGCCTTAGTGTTTAGCAAGTTATACTACTGTTCTCCGGTGTGGTCTAATACTTCAAAGAAAAATATCTCGAAGCTGCAGAAAGTTCAGAATTTTGCTTGTAGAATTATCACTGGAAAGCGGAAATTTGATCATATGACACCCGCATTAAGAGAGCTAAGGTGGCTCCCCATGACCAGTTTTCTTAAATATACACTTGGAGTTTTAGCATTTAAATGTGTTAAGGGGTTAGCCCCTAGCTACCTTTGTCATAGATTTAAGACCCGTGATTGCGTTCATGACCGTAATACTAGATATAAGAATAACTTGAATATCCCAGCTTACAAGTCAGCTTCTGGGCGACGCACATTTTTATACCGTGCAACAAGTTTCTGGAATTCTCTTCCATGTGAAATAAGAGGATGTGATAATTTGCCAATCTTCAAGAGACATTTAAAGGAATTTCTCAGTAGTTTTTAATTAGTAATGTGATATATTTTAGCATCTATTAGAATTTTAGATTTTTAATTTTAATGTATTTAGTATTGATTGTAATTAGTATTTAAAACCCATTTAGTGGAAAACTAATAAACACATTCATTCATGTAACACATAAACTGACGCTGCCCGGTAAAGCGGGCCAGCTCAGCTACCCTGTCTATAGGTTGTCTAAGCGGGTAATGTTTTGCCACCCACCCCGAGCGAGTGTCTTGAAGGAAGATCACGAATGGAAAGGAGATCTATCGTGTGTTACCTGAGCGGAATTTGGTGGCAATTGGAGCCGTTGGAGCGAATTTACGGTCATTTTCTTTCGGTGGATCCGTCGGGCCGGTTCGCTGGAATCCCAGACTTGGTAAACCTTATATAGAGAGAGAAAACCGTTTATAACACAACCCATAAAAAGGCCATAAATCGGCCCGTGGACCACACAGGAGAGACGTAACACACATTTTATGCAAGGTACGCTGTTTTTTATTGAAATCCTTTCATTTTCGTAGGTTACAGAAACGACAGGTTTTTTCCCATACAAATCCTTATATTTGGAATGTTACGCAACAATGCCAATGCTCGCCGATGCTCGTATTTCGAGCTTGGGCTACCTGCGATCCCGGCCGCGAAGTTGTGCAGATGTTGTTGTTTTTTTTTGTTTGTTTGTATTTTTTTTCTATAGTTTTTATTTTTCGTGTTATATCATTTAATGCTTGGTAATATTTAAGGCTCGGAAATTCGGCATGGGACCTTTTGGGGTTAAATTTTTGGTCCAGAGATTTTTTTGGGTAATATTGAAAGTCCTAGAGTTTTTTTCCTGGTTTTGATTTTTGCCCCAATTCAATTATCCTCGTCATTTCGATTCCGGAGTAGGGTATGTAAGATTGTGCGTTCAGAACGCACCCTCCCTGTTGGGATGCAACTACATCATTGATACAAGTGGGTACAATATATATTCCCATACATCAATTTGCTACTGCAGCGGTTAAGGACACCGCTGACTTGTTAACTGAACACCGAAAACTCACTCTCCCTCTACGCTCGTGGAAAATTGTCAGATGAATCAGCATGGGGGTCGAGGAGGCATGGCCGCTCGCTACACATTTCTGTAATAAGAATGTATACAGGAGCCCATAAGGTGGAGCGAGCAACTTCCATGCGCTCGTGTCACAACGTTTTCACGGACCGGTTTATTTTTAGAACGGTTTTGGCGCGAATTTTGAAAATCTTTTAAATTACGCAAACAACCAGTTTAAAAAAACCTACAGACCTGAAAATGAGTTATTTTTTTCGGCCTTTTAATAACGTTTATTTTTCCATTTTGATATCTTATACTTCGAATGTCCTCAATACACATGGTGGAGGTTCTATTTTCGCGGGACAAAGTGCCCTAAAATGTGTCTAAAATAAACTGGTCCGTGAACACGCCGTGACATAGGCCTAGTATGGGAGTAGCTTGCTCCGGGTTATGGGCTCCTGATGTATATATGTATATTTTGAACAAAACGTATCGGTTTCGGGCGATGTAACCGTTATTTACTTACTATTATAATTTTTTGGGGGGCCAGGTGGGGGGGGGGGGGGGGGGAAGGATGACCGCCTCCACAAATCTTAAGGGGTTGTACGCCTTTTTGTAGACTCTTCTTATTCTTTAGCCGGTTGAAGTGTTATTCTCTATCTTGAGGTATCAGTTATGTGAAGCAGATTTGCTTTTCTACTGTTTTCTTTTTTCTGTATTTTCATTAGGTAAGTAATCAACCACTTTTTTGAGTAGTTACCTTCGTAGGTCTTTGATCGAACTTCAGCCATCCCAAGATCTCCTAAGGTTACTTTTTCACCCGAAGGTACTTTTAGCTCAAGAATGGTGACATGCGTTTAATCCCCTGTTAAAAGATAATTTGTAATTCTAAAGACACTTCATGGCTCCTCTAAAAGGTAGTCACCTCTATCGAGGTAACCTAAAGCTGAGTAAAATAACTGAAGATTTCATATTAGAAGCAAGAAGGAAAATTTTCCTAATAGGTAAAGCGCGGTTAACAACAATTTTTATGTTAATAGATTCAGTATGTATGCCGCATCTCATTTTTAAGAACAATTATCATCTGCCTTTTTTTCATCGAGATTCCCGCAAGTAATGCCGAGATAATGAAATACCTATCATTATTAGATGGAAACTTTTCTTTCTTTTCATTGGCTGAGAGTCCACCGCGTGAGCTGCAAATAACTGCCTATATATAATGGCCTGCTCATGTGCAATGTCGTCCAGCTGTGTTTGGCTGCAAATAATATTCTGCTCATGCGTAAATGAAAGCACGCTTTTCTCCGTCCATGCGATCGCTCTTGCGTGAAAATGGCAGATCGCTTCGCTAGCCTTTCCCGAAGATATTCATTAAAAACAAACACGGTGAACAAATGATAAAACAATTATTGAACTCGGTTATCGCAAATATCGTGATTTGTCAGTGTCTCGCAGATCAATTATTTGCCTCAGCCTTTGGCTTCGGAAAATACATAATTGATCTGCTTGCCCCTGACAAGTCGCAATATTTTGCTGAACCTCGTCCAATAATTGTTATAAGTATCGTACTTGAATGTAACGTGGATTAAAGCAGTGTTCTATTGAGTGCAAGAAAGTGATATCGTAACTATATACCTTCATTGATTCTTTTGTAGTTTCAGGCTCTGTGATTGGCCAGAAAAATTCTCGCGCCACTTTCTCAGCCAATCGGGAGCAAATCTGAAACCTCTTGTAACTTGCACGCACGCATTTTCCCGCCCTTGGCACCAGCTGCTACGTGCATTTTTTTCTTGGGCATCTGACAGGTGACCTTGCTCAGTGTGCGTATTCTGATTGACTACAGTGATTACTTACGATAACAATTGAAAACTACTCCTACTAACTCATGTAAGGTAAGCCAAAGATGTTCTTTCTTTTGCTAAGTGAAGTTTCAGTTAAATGTCACTAGTAACCGAAATAAAAATGACAGCCTGAAGTTTCTCGAACACCTTTGTGTATGACCCTCTTTCGCCTTTGACTGGGCTGAATTTAATGTTCCATAGACGCGTGAAACATTTACATGTAAGGTATAAACATTCAATATCAACTTGGCACTGAATTGAGGATGATGATTTAAAGAGTGACTCAAAAGTGAAATTATCCTGGTATACGCCAATCCTATTTTTGTTTACTCCACTTGCCTTGTAAACTAAACTTCTTAGTCAAGCCGGACACTCTTCAACGTTCTGGCGGCCTAAACATACCTTTCTTACTTACTACCGCTATTCTCCCGGAAGAGCTTGTTTTCCCGTTCACTTGCCCAGGCCCAAAAAAGGAGAAGAGAGTGAAGTGCTTTAGAAAGCTCATTATGCCAGTACTGATAGAAACGACTATTTCGTAGAAAAAAAGAACGAGAAAGTTAGGAAACAGAATTACATTGGTTAGTATCCAGGGCCCAGTTGTTCGAAGGCCGATTAGCACTTAACCTGGGGTTAAAATTAACCCTGGTTTCTTTTTCTTGTCAGTTCAAAAGCATTCTCTTGGATAATTTTCCCTGTTAGTTTTAGAGCTTCCAATCATCAACTTGTAGACAAAAAAAAATTAAAACTGAAATGCTTTTTTAGCTTTCAAATCTGAATTCAAATCTCACAGTAAACCTGGGTTATCTTAACCCAGCTGGGAACAACTCGGCCCAGAAGTATTTTGGTACCATTGTAAGCATTTTATTAAATAATACCAGCAAAGTTGAAAATTGCTTAATTTTTCTAAGCAACTTCCCATTGCCGTTTTCACCCTCTTCGACGCCAGCGTATGAAGAAGACGGTAAAAAGGATATGGAAAAAGTAGGTACACTCCCCACGTTTAACTTAGACACCCCTTGGTAGCCTGTATACAGCCGTCCCCTCCCCTCAGAAAAAACGGAGAAGGGGAGGGGAGGGGGCGGCTGTACACAGGCCAACCCTTGGTTCCTCAACAAACAAACTTTGTACCTCAGTTTTGTGAACACGTTTAACCACAAAAGCATCCGTTCACCCCATAAAAGACCAGGATAGTACTATAAATTCATTATGTTAGTGCTAATAAGCCAGTCTATCTTAAGACATCAAGTATGGTATCTCTACAATCTGGCTAAAAAGGGGAGTGACGATATGCACCTGGGATGAGAGAGACGATGCTCATTCAGAGCAGAGCTCGAATTTGATGAGAATTCCCTACCCTCGCTTGAAGGGTTCTCTTGGGCTAAATCGAGAGTGCGACTTAACATCAAGGAAAAAGAGCAAACACATATCCACAATTAATGTAAAACGTTAAAAAATAACTGAACGCTCTTAATCCTCCAACAAACATAATTTTTGCTTTTTGTTACGATGTCTCTGAGTTTTTGCATAGCATCAATTAATTTATTGGACATCTCGGAAAAGTTAGAAATTGATAATTCAAGTACAATGCCTCGTTGCTGCCGGACATCAGCCAGCAGCAGACCATATTCTTGAGCGATTTGAGATTTTTCGTTCAATGGTTCAATGGTTCAATGGTTCCATGGTTCATGGTTCGATGGTCATCCGTGACTGCAGCGCTGTGCAGTCAGCGGTTTGCTTAAGCAAGTGCTTAGCTGTCGCGCCTGTTTTTCTTTTAGGAACAACCCGCCATTTTGTTTTGCTTTCATGTAAGATCTGTGAGGAAATCGTAGTTTATCGGATGCTTGCTGTCTTTTTAAACGGCCTAAACGGTAAGAACAGTTCAAGAATTATTGTACAGAACATTTTTTCGGTTTATTTTTTTATTCAGGTTTCAAGATTAGTTATAGCAAGTATTCTTTTGTCACACAGATTGTTATCTCGGTAATCAGGATTGTAAGTTACATAAGTGAACGGCATGTGCTGTACATCTACCTCACCTGTGAATAAACAAGTTTTGGCCTTTATGTTATTCCTTCGCAACTCATCTCATCGATCCTGTGTACGATGATTGTTCGATGAAGAAACAGCCTATCAGCACTGCAGTTGTTTTAGAATTTCGTGAATTATTAAAATGAATTACAAAATGGTATTGAAACCTTACAGGGGCACCCAACGAGGATATAGTTCAAAACCACTTAACATAGCGTTGTTGAACGTATTTTAGTATACTCAAACGGTAGATATAGGCATATTTTTATCCCCTAAAAACTTTTCATCTGTTCGGATTTCCTAGCTGAAAATCTAGTGATCCGAAAATTATAGGGATAAAAACTTACCTTCTCGAAAATTTCAGCCAGGAAAAGGCTCCCGAAAATTCTAGGTGGCCTTTTTTAGGGTCAAAATCCGTTAAAAATGAGTAATTATACCATTTTGTAGATGTTCGAAAATCCTAGGAGAGGCAGGCAAGCAAGAAATTTTACAACAAATGCTCGAAAATTCGAGATCTCAAATCGTCTTCCGAACAGATATTTTCCCGAAAATTGCCGTTGGGTGCCCCTGACCTTAGCGAGTTATATGAATGTAAGCATATTTGTCATCGTGATCGGTTCATTTTTTATATTACGCTCTGAGTGTTTCATAATGCCAGCAAGTCTAAGTTATTGACTTTATTAAGAAAGAATTCATATGTTCAACTGTTCTACAAACTGTCTTTGTCCTATTCGCATCGCAACTAACGGCATCACTTCCCTTCTCAATGAGAACTTCAAGTACTAATACTTACTTTAGCGCCAATTGCTATTTACTACAGGCGAACCTCTATCTAGCGGCCACCCCAGAGAAACTAACAAGTGGCAAGTGTGGGGTTCAGCTTATAGAAATTCATGTAAGTGGCAACTAGTGGGTGTCCAGTGAATTCTCGAACTTAATAGAGGCTGCATCGACTATTTCATTGGCTAATAGTAGATTTTAGCAAGGGCCAGGCCGTTGGTTCAAGCAAACGGTTAGACTTTCTAGTCTTCTTGGACAAGGAGAAGATAAAGGCCGCAGACCCCGTCTCACAACCCTTGCGCAAATAAGTTCTGTTTGTGAAGAGTAGGGAACATATTCCCCGGTTTGGTGGTCTATCTCTCATATGGGAGGGATTGTTATGGGCCTGCAGTAATTGGAGCAAGGCGCTGTTGCGGTGAGCCGGTGACCTTGCCAAGAATTGGAGAATCTAAGAATCTATGTTTAGCAGGTAAAACTCACCACGTTTTTTTCCATCAACTGAGAGAAAATGTATTTGTTCAGGAATATAGCATCGTCCTTTATTTTTCTAGACAGCAGGGTGAGGCTTTGGTAGTAAAGTGTAGTAAATTCATGCCCCTTATAGCAGTAATTAGCATAAAAGGTGGCCTGGGAACAACACTTGTGTGCAACCGCGAGGTGTGGGTCTTTGTTTGTCTTTGTCTAAGGGTCTTTGTGCGGGTAGCCTGCAGTGCAGGCGTTTTCTTTGAGCGTGCAGTTTGCCCGAGAAAGCGCCATGTTGAAACTTCCCGAAGAGAGGAGGAAATGGGGCACCCTCCCCTGTTTCCTTCTTTCACCCTCGCACCTACCGTAAGGGTTACTATTTCTACTCTCCCCAATCTTCCACTGTCATAAAATCAAAGATGGCGGCTGCGACAACATTACGAACATGAACAAGTCGAACAAGGTTTCGCCCACCCAAAATACGCGTGCAGTGCAGGCTATTGTGTGGGGGAGATTCGATTTTGTTAAATTAAACTTCTGCTTTTCTAGGAACCGCTTCGCTTCGTCGTCATACTAATTACCTTCAGCAATGGCTCAAGGTAAGAGCTTTTTCGATGACGTTAAAAAGGAGTTGGAATGTTCCGTGTGTCAGGAGCTGTTCAGTGAAGTCAACGAACCAAAAATTTTAAAATGTCTCCATACTTTCTGTAAGAATTGTCTGGAAGCTTGGTTGAGGAGACAGCGCGAAGGACAGCTAAGTTGCCCGACATGTCGTCAAATCACCGAGTGTTCGAACAGCAACATTGACAGCCTTCCATCCAATCTTTTCTACAAACAGATGGTGGAGATTGTAGAGGCTTATAGTGGTACAGGACAAGAAGCTGATTCGCCGTATTGTGGGAACTGTGAGGAGAAAAAGCATCTGAAGTTTTATTGCTTTGACTGTAATACCTTCTTGTGTGATGAATGTGCTGGCACCCACAGCAAATGGAAGTCGTTTAAAGACCACCATGTCAAGGAAATTGGAAAATTTGAGTCAAGCGATGTGCAAGATTACGCCCGAAAATCCAACGTATGTAAGAAACACAAGGATGAGCTAAGATTTTACTGTGAAAACTGCAACATTTGCATTTGTCGCGATTGTGCCATACTCGAGCACCGTGACGACAGGAACCACAACATAGTTTCACTAGAGCAAGGATTTGAAAACAAAAAATTAGACATAACAAGTAAAATGAAAGACGTTGAAGCAATTGCAACTCGTTTAAGAGACCAAAAACAAACATCAGAGAAGAAAAGAGTAAGGATGCTTGGAAGTATTGATGAAGCGACGACTGAAATTCACCGAGTCGCTGAACAATGGATAAGGTTCATTCGCCAGAATGAATCAGCTATGACCAAAAAGTTGCTCGAGCACAAAAATTCTTTTCAAGAAACATTTTCAGTCCAGATGTCCAGCTTAGATGAGAAAATCGTGGAGATAGACAACAGCTTGGTATTTAGCAGCGATGTTCTGGCTCGAGAAAATCTACTGGAGATTTTAAACGTGGAAGAAATACTGGATAAAAGGTTTCAGGACCTTTCTTCGGAATTTCGAGTCAATTTGAATTATCCGTACGTCAAGTACGTTCCAAATGATGCATCATCGCCAATGAACGACGTGCTTGGAGAATTAATTTTCACTAACTCTTTGCTCACGACAGCAAATGGCAAGGGACTTACTGAAGGTATTGTAGACGAAATATGCACTTTTAAGATTTAAACAAGGGATTCGCGGGGACAAATAACGTACTTTAGATTATACGACGACGTCGATGTTGACATCTGATCAGTGGGTATCACCACAGTCCCCATGATAATGATATTAGTCTTGGAAAATGGCTGCTACGAACACAGGGCGCAGAGGAGTTATTTGTGATGGCAAATACCGTTAATTCCGAAAATAAGTACCGGGGCTTATATTTTGTCAAAGGCCCTTTTTGAGGGGCTTATTTTTGGAGGTGCTTATATTCGGAGGGGCTTATCTACGAAGGGAAATTTGCGTTTCATTGATTGGGCTAGCCTTATATTTTGGAAGTAAATTTACCGTTTTTGCTTTGTTTTACTTTGTATTCGAGGGCAATTTTCCAAGTACAAGCCCCCGGGGGGGCTTATATGTGAAGGGGCGATTTAACGGAGGGTTTTTTGCGTTACCGGTTTGGGGGGCTTATATTTGGAGGGGCTTATACATGGACGGGCTTATTTTCGGAATTTTACGGTAAAACGAAAATTTTACTGCCGAACGAAGTAGTCGCCTCGGTTTACTTTGGACTTTATTATGAACTAGACCTTTCAAACAGTCCTGCGATCGTGTTACTAACCTGGTAAAATATTATCTAATGCTCGGTGGGAACGAACATCGCCCGAGGGGCGACGCATCCGGAAGCTTCGCGAGGCACGAAATGCCGAGAAGAAAAAAGATAGTCGTCTTATATGTTAGTCGCAGTTATTCGTCCGCAGCAGGGTCCACAGTTATTGCCTTCAGCGGTTTTCCAGGGCATTTAGTAATTATTGAATTAGACTTTCGTATGATATGAAGAATTCTGCAGATCTCGGTGTTCGCCTTGAAAGGAGTAAAATGTTCCGCCGACAGTTCCCCCTTTGGTCTAACTACCAAAACAACTCAACCTCGTCCCCAGGTTTTCTCGATCAACGGTTCAATAGCCTGCAACAGGCTGCACTTTTAACGTCATTTTGACGTCATCGGTCCAATATGACAAAATTCTTTCCAAATTTGGTCAACAGCAGCTGGTTGTGGTGAGTTATGCGTGTTGTTTTAACCAATCAGAAACGGGGAAATATTTCGAATGAATAGTAATTAACAATTATTGGACGAGGTTGAGTGAAATGTCGTGATTTGTCAGTGGCGAGCAGATCTTATAAGCCGAAGCCGAAGGCTGAGGCAAATAATTGATCTGCGAGACACTGAAAAATCACGATATTTTGCGACAACCGAGTTTAATAATTGTTTTATCATTCGATCACCGAGTTTGGTTTTTAATGAACATCTTCGGGAAGCGAGGCGATCTGCCATTTTCACGCAAGAGCGATCGCAAGAAGGAGAAAGCTTGGTGTCATTTACGCATGGGTAGAAAATTATTTGCCGCCAAACAAAGTTGGACGACATAGCGCATGAGAATACCATTATTTGTAGGCAGTTATTTGCAGGTCACATGGTGGGTTCTCGGCCAATGAAAACAAAGAAAGATTTACAACGAATGATAATAGATAATATCTTACCAAGTTAGTAACACGGTCTCATGACTGTTTGAAAGGTTAAGTTCATAATAGATTCTACAGTAAACCGAGGCGACTCGTCCGTTCGTCCGTAAAATTTTCACTTTATTTGTCATCACAATAACTCCTCTGCGCCTTGTGCTACGAAGTGTAGTACAAGCCCAAGATTGCAGGAAAGTATCACTGAAGTCACATATGACACCTAGTCAGGAAAGTTCAAAGATAGCGCGGGCTGTGTGTGATATGGGTAAATTGAACTGAAAAATGTGTAAAAGTGCGAAAAAGGTGCTTGTTTTCACGAAAATACTTCGCAGAAAACTTTTTGAGAGGTAGAGGTTGCCATTCAGCTTCTTTTTTGATCTACTTTTTGTCCACGAAAGCTAGTTTCCTTCGCTTCATTTTTTTGATAAACTGACATCGCGAGCAGACGGCCTCGGTGGGTCGTGAGTTTGTGTACGAAATTTATGATACCGGATAAGTGAAATGTTAATCCACATTTTTCTGTTCAAATTACTCTTCCTTTGAATTTTAACTTGGAGCGAGACATCTTAATCCTTCCCAAATGTAACGACAATGAATTTGAGCAGAAGAATTCGCTATCGCAGTCTTTTTCTTGCTTAAATCACAGGGCGCCCAGAATCACAACAGCCTACTAGAAGCCGAATTATAAGGATTTGTATGGAAATTTATCTTAAGATCGCAGAACGGTTAAAATGCACAGCTACGGAAGTATTCATACCTTTTAAAGAGTCTTGTCTCGTTTTCTTACTGTTTCCTGCCCTATAAACGCAAGCGCGCGTGCACTCCGCTTAACGCCATGTCAGCAAGTTTTATTGTTTTCAGGGTTTCTCAACTACTAAGATCTTTTGACAAATTACGTCGAGAACACAAGACGATCCAGAGGTACCGTCCATAGTATTGGCATTGACTGCGATTTAAGGAAATGCTTAATTACTTTTATTACTCATTCAAAACATTTCCACGATTCTGATTGGCTAAAAGCACACGCATAATTCACCATAACCAGCTACTGATGACCAAATTTGGAAGAATTTTGCGTTTAATGAACCGATGACGTCAAAAGTGCAGCGTTCTAGCAGGTTAATAGACTACGAACAGCCTCTCTTTTTTTGTTGGTCCGTCAAGCAAAACGCCCGACACACGCAAATGACCACGCACGTGACTGAAGACGCGAGATGGGAGAGGCACGACAAAAGAGATCTCTTTTTTCTTCTCGGGCTGCCGCCCTCGTTTCTCGCGTCTCGCGGCTTCGCCTCGTGCGTTACTAAATCTGAAGAAAAAGAGAGACTGCTCGCAGTCTAGTAGGTTAATGCACCGTTAGGGACTGGTCATTATTTATTGCCGGGGGGCCGAAGGATTTAAGCGGGGATCACTTGATTTTTGGGAGAACAAAAGGGGGAATCAGTCATAACTGAGAACCCAAAAAGGGGGATCGATGATAACTTTGGAAGGATGCAGACGGGGAACCACTCAAATTTGCTTGGAAAATAAAGACATCTGGGGGGGATCGAGAAAGTCATCAAACGTTTTTAGGGGGAATCACTTCAGTGAAGTGACATTGAAAGGGCCCCCTTCCCGGTGACAAATAATGACCGGTCCGTTAACCGAGAAGACCTGGGGACGAAGTTGAGTTGCTTTCAATTGCATTGGCTCCAGGCTCTTAAGATTACTCTCCCCCCTTTTTGCGATTTCATGACCGTTATGTTGCCCTATCCTTAGGAAGAACAAATCTCATAGCGTTGAGATATGGATATGACACTATACTATTAACGTATATTTTCATGATTGCAGATTTACGGCGGCTTCGTGAGGGCCCACATACCATTGATGAAAAACCTCTTAAAGTGATAAATCAGCCTCCAAAGAAAAAAGTCCCACTGGACCCACTAAAAGTCCATGTTCAAGGACTTAACGAGCAGACTACGCAGGACTCTCTGTGGTTGTATTTAGAGAAGTTCAGCAAAGCAGACGTGACTGAGGTGTACATGGGCTGCAACAACAACGCAATGGCCGTTTTTGATGCTGAACAAGGTAAAAAAAATATATTGTTCGTTACGTGTTTTTGTTTTCTTTTATTTTGTTGTTGCTCTTTCGTGAACGATCAAGAATGTATTTATCCAAAAGAAAGTCAGTGGTTTTTTCTGTTTCTTAACATTTGCTCGTACTTCTGATTTTATGTGTTTGGTCCATTTGTGAAGCGGTACAGTTTCAGCAGCAAAGTTTTAAGGGCATACCTTCTTTTGAAACTACGGTGTTATCCTTGATCTATGCATTCAGTTTGGGAGTAGTTGGTCAATTTTTTCTTTTTCCGGCTAAATTAAAGCTTTTTAGGTTTTATTTCCTGTAAAATTTGTGGACAAATTCTTTATAATTAACGAGCCACAAGAGCACACGTGTATACTAAAAGGATACCCGGACTCATGATCACTGACATGATTTTCTGGACAGCGACTGGGAATGGTTGCGCAAAGGGTTTTGGTTAGTAGGATGCCCAAGATGCGTTTAATTAATTCCACTATTATGTTTTCAACCTCAATAAATCCTCTGCTGATTACAGACATTTTAGGAGGAGCCACCTACAGTTAGTTAGCACAGAATAACTGTCAAGAATACAATGCAAAGTAGAGGTAATACCGGCGTTCAATGTCAACTGGGGCAAAAAACGTTTGAGTTATAAATAACCTATGACACTTCTGGGCATATTTGTTCTGCTACTCTACTGTTACTTGACAAATATAATTTCCTCCGTGTTTCTGTTTCAGACTTCGTTGTTCTTTTTGACAAAGTCACCAAAGACCGAAGAGGGCTGGAGGGGAAGCATGTTCGATTGGACCGCGTGCCCGTATGTTCTTGCATTAAAGTCAAAAGACATAAGGAAACGTCGGATGAAAGTATAGCTCTTTACTTTGCAAACATGAGAAGGAGTGGAGGGGGCCCTGTCAGCCTTGTGGAACGAATAGGAAAAGACCAAGTCTTGGTGCATTTTGAGAATCCATCCAGTAAGTAGAACTAAATAGAAATTTAGAACTTACTGAAAAGTTTGTGGAAGCTGTTTTTAGATGACGGCTGTAATTTTTTGTCACCGGAGGAGGATGGAGCCTGGTCACCTTGTGGACAGAAGACTTTAGCCCATCTCATCTTCCTTCTCCTTCTAGATCCTCTATAGAGAAATGTTCACTGTATATTTCGCAATGAGTGGAAGTCGGGAAAATATAAATTTTGATGAAAAACGTGAGGCTCAGTATTGCCGAGGCTTTTTCAAAGTGTCCGACTACAATTGACACTGAGCATGCATGAACACTGTGACAGCTTACCTTAACTGGAAGAAATCTAAAGCTGAGATTTTTTCCACGATTGTGTTTAATATGTGGTCACCTCTTTAATAATTATCTTGTTTTGGATTCAGGCGTCGAGACCGTTATCAAAAGAAGTCATGTCCTTGAACGACAACAGTTGGACGTAAAACCCTACTATCCTTTTCTGGAGAATTGAACAACAAACAAAACCGATATTGCTCAGTTTTGAAGCAGAAGTGTATGATTATGTCAAGAAGTACCACCAACGAGAATTACAAGAACAGAAGGTACTGGTTGAATTTTCAGATGACGCTCAAAGTTCTACAATCACTATTTTTCCATCGGAGAAGAAGGTGAGAAAGAATCTCTTCAGTCGTGGCAGAAAAGGGTGAGTGACTTGGAAACATTTTAAACAGTTTCGAGAAAATAGAAGTCCCCATTGGAGCTGAACATTTTGATGAAATGGTTCGACGATGGAAGAAGCAAAATAAAGTGAATCTAAAACAAGGAGGGTCTTCTCACGCAACTAATAAGGATTTGCTACATTGAAGCTTTAAACAAACAGAGAAATGGGAATGCGATTCTTGCAACTACAGGGGAGCGACGATTGGATCCCCAAAATAGGACTTTTTGGCTAACAAAACCCTGAATAGATGAATGAGCCAATCAATGTTCCTAGCCCTGAAGCAATACCAAGTGTGTTTGCAAAGGCCATTGAAAAGAGAGTTTCCTTAACCTTGGCTACAGGAAGAAAGTAGCTAAGTCTAAAAACACGAACAGCATGCCCATCACAGAACTGAGAACAATGGAACACTTTAAGGAAAGCTTGTTAAGCGTCATAAAAGTCAGATTAATCCAGTCGATAACCGTTTACGTTTTGAGCGTGGGTTCGCATGAGACAATACAGGCTGGCAATATGTAGGTTAGGTCGTCCATGGTTTTAATCTGCGTCGTGTTATCAGCTCTAATTTTCTGTTCCCAGATTTTTGCGAACGTATTCTTTGCTTACAGGGCGGATGCCAATTGAAATTCCTTGTATAATTATATCGCGCGGTTTGGTCGTTTCTGGCTCGAATTGTAGGCACTTTTAGAATTAAATTTTAAAATAAACTAAAGTAAATTTAGGAAATTGACAAAAAGTTTTTTTAAATTAGCTGGACTTCCAGGGATTCACTCACATACCGCGCTTTGGCTGCATGTGAAAATATACACTCAAATAATACTTCATATTTTCAGACGAACACCATCCTAATCCTGGCGTACCTTACTGCTGTTACTGGGTTACCACGGCCAAAATAACCGAAAAGGTTGATAGCAGTAGAGACGGCTGACATTAATCAGACTAATGATACATTCACATCCGTTATAATTCTTCATTAGAGACGAAAGGTAGTAGTGAAGATAACTAAATAGTTTTCCAGTGCAGCTTTTCAGTTATAACGCGTGACTACTACATATTAATTTTCAAATGATGATTGCTTTTTGTGGAACATTCTTCAGCGGATTAATATATTAGAAGGGTATGGCACAACTTTTCGCTTTCATTGCATACCCCACTTGTAAAATTCGCTGTTCAACCCTTACCAAATTAGCGAAAATCCTGTACGAAATCAGTGTTTTCATATATACATGTATCAGGTACAACTTTTAACGAATAGAAATCGCAATGTCAAGCTTATTTTTTATTCTCTTCTCCTTACAGTTGCGGATCGGGATCCAGACCGCAGTTATACCTTAACAGATTAAAACAACAATTAGCTGATAAAGGTTTTATGTTGTATAGTGATACACATAGTCAGTTTGCTGAATCAAACCTTTCATTCCCAAGATGCTCACTTCCAGAGATGTTTATAGAAATCTCCAATTTCTTTTAAAAGAATATTGAAAAAACAAATAAATCTTTGAGTACCATGTAAAATTAAAGAACTGCTAAAGAAGTTTCTTTTGGATCTTCACAGTACCTGAAGTTTAATTAAAACACAAAAGTTGTACTTTTGAAGACGGATTAACGTTGTTATTCCATGTTTCGAACTTTAGCGAGGATATAAATGGGCCAGAGATAATATCCCACACAGGCCTTTTACCCATCGTAATCCTCTTTTAATTCATCCTCTCTTGTCAAACATTATTATCAAGAATAAAAATACTTTCGGTACTTCAATATCAAAGTTTTTTACTATATGCGAAGTTTATAGTGCCACGTGAATGTCCCACTGAAAAGATAGTTTGAACTGGAAGTATTGATTCCGGAAATGCACTGACGGAATTGGACAACGTTGGCGTTGGATAGCGTTGGATAGCGCTATCTATCGGATGAAATTATACTATCCAGCTGCTAAAGCATTAGGGAGATCATATTGCGCTATAGACTCCTATTCATGATCAGTGGATAGAGATTTATCCAGGCAGTGCATAGCGGTATCTAAGACAGAACCGGAATGGTTATGTACCGGTTCTGCCCTACAGCTGGAAGTCGCAAAATGGAAAGTAAAGAGATATTCACTGATTTCATCGAAACACAATTCCTTGTTTTCTCCAACTACTTTTACCGAGATAAGCTGAGTGCAGTCTATGGGCGAGTCGTGAAATTTTGGGGTGTCAGCAAATTTGTTTTCGAAGACGTATAAGTCGACCACCCCCTCCTCCTCCCGTGCCCTAGAGATACTTTAATACTAATTTAGCAACGGTTCAGTTTTGATGCAACCTCGTCCCCAGGGCGCTTTTCCCTAGGGAAAAGCGCCCTGGGGACGAGGTTGGGCGATGGGGTCATGGGAGGGCTTTTTAAAAAAAAAAAAAAAGGGCATATCCAGCGGGGCTTATAACGGGACTAAAAAAAAAAAAAACAAGCTACATAGCAGTGCGGATCAAAATACACCTTGAATTCACTCGCGTTTTGTGCTTCAAAACGTCGTAAAAATCAATTCAATACAAGCTAGAGGGGGCTTATGTTAGATGTACTTTTAGTTTACAGGTTGATGGGGCAAATAAACGGAAGTTTACGGTATTCAGCCACTGGCCGATGAGGACGCGGGGTTTGAACCCTTCAGCCAATGCTTGTCACACGAATTGAACCAAATGCTGATGTACGTCTGTGAAAGGATTTACGTTAATAGTGAAAATAGACTTTAAGCCTTGTGAAGTCCCCTAATATTAGTCCATTGAAGTGATTATATTTTTTACAAACTCAATAACCCTAGAGTCTCCGACCATGGCCATGTGTTCCGCCTTGGAAAATGATTTTATCACCACTTGTTGCTCCTGTTTACCCACAAAAGAGTGACAAGCCTGCAGGCTTCGAAATTTATCTTAAGATCGCAGAACGGTTAAAATGCACAGCTACGGAAGTATTCATACCTTTTAAAGAGTTTTGTCTCGTTTTCTTACTGTTTCCTGCCCTATAAACGCAAGCGCGCGTGCACTCCGCTTAACGCCATGTCAGCAAGTTTTATTGTTTTCAGGGTTTCTCAACTACTAAGATCTTTTGACAAATTACGTCGAGAACACAAGACGATCCAGAGGTACCGTCCATAGTATTGGCATTGACTGCGATTTAAGGAAATGCTTAATTACTTTTATTACTCATTCAAAACATTTCCACGATTCTGATTGGCTAAAAGCACACGCATAATTCACCATAACCAGCTACTGATGACCAAATTTGGAAGAATTTTGCGTTTAATGAACCGATGACGTCAAAAGTGCAGCGTTCTAGCAGGTTAATAGACTACGAGCAGTCTCTCTTTTTTCTTGGTCCGTCGAGCAAAACGCCCGAGACACGCAAATGACCACGCACGTGACTGAAGGCGCGAGACGGGAGAGGCACGACAAAATAGTTTTCCTCTCGGGCTGCCGCCCTCGTTTCTCGCGTCTCTCGGCTTCGCCGCCCAACGGTCGCGCGCGCGTGCACTCCCCTTACTAAATCTGAAGAAAAAGAGAGACTGCTCTCAGTCTAGTAGGTTAATGCACCGTTAGGGACTGGTCATTATTTATTGCCGGGGGGGCGAAGGATTTAAGGGGGGATCACTTGATTTTTGGGAGAACAAAAGGGGGAATCAGTCATAACTGAGAACCCAAAAAGGGGGATCGATGATAACTTTGGAAGGATGCAGACGGGGAACCACTCAAATTTGTTTGGAAAATAAAGACATCTGGGGGGATCAAGAAAGTCATCAAACGTTTTTAGGGGGAATCACTTCAGTGAAGTGACATTGAAAGGGCCCCCTTCCCGGTGACAAATAATGACCGGTCCGTTAACCGAGAAGACCTGGGGACGAAGTTGAGTTGCTTTCAATTGCATTGGCTCCAGGCTCTTAAGATTACTCTCCCCCTTTTGCGATTTCATGACCGTTATGTTGCCCTATCCTTAGGAAGAACAAATCTCATAGCGTTGAGATATGGATATGACACTATACTATTAACGTATATTTTCATGATTGCAGATTTACGGCGGCTTCGTGAGGGCCCACATACCATTGATGAAAAACCTCTTAAAGTGATAAATCAGCCTCCAAAGAAAAAAGTCCCACTGGACCCACTAAAAGTCCATGTTCAAGGACTTAACGAGCAGACTACGCAGGACTCTCTGTGGTTGTATTTAGAGAAGTTCAGCAAAGCAGACGTGACTGAGGTGTACATGGGCTGCAACAACAACGCAATGGCCGTTTTTGATGCTGAACAAGGTAAAAAAAATATATTGTTCGTCACGTGTTTTTGTTTTCTTTTATTTTGTTGTTGCTCTTTCGTGAACGATCAAGAATGTATTTATCCAAAAGAAAGTCAGTGGTTTTTTCTGTTTCTTAACATTTGCTCGTACTTCTGATTTTATGTGTTTGGTCCATTTGTGAAGCGGTACAGTTTCAGCAGCAAAGTTTTAAGGGCATACCTTCTTTTGAAACTACGGTGTTATCCTTGATCTATGCATTCAGTTTGGGAGTAGTTGGTCAATTTTTTCTTTTTCCGGCTAAATTAAAGCTTTTTAGGTTTTATTTCCTGTAAAATTTGTGGACAAATTCTTTATAATTAACGAGCCACAAGAGCACACGTGTATACTAAAAGGATACCCGGACTCATGATCACTGACATGATTTTCTGGACAGCGACTGGGAATGGTTGCGCAAAGGGTTTTGGTTAGTAGGATGCCCAAGATGCGTTTAATTAATTCCACTATTATGTTTTCAACCTCAATAAATCCTCTGCTGATTACAGACATTTTAGGAGGAGCCACCTACAATTAGTTAGCACAGAATAACTGTCAAGAATACAATGCAAAGTAGAGGTAATACCGGCGTTCAATGTCAACTGGGGCAAAAAACGTT